CCTTTCCCTTTCTTTGCTATTTTCAGATGCAGCCCACAGGGAGGGGATCTAGAATGGAAGTGGGAAAATAGGCCTTTTTAGCAGGATTGCGTTTGAATGGAAGTAATTGGGAATCACTCCCACTGCTGAAGGTAGAACCTGAACTCTGGATCCAAAAAAGCTGCACATTAAATAAAAATGCAATGATTTGAGAAGTATTTAAACATGTTATCTAAATGGAAACAGAATAAATAAGACACAGTATTTCTCTAGTATTCTGAGAAAAAATGGTTTAATGAAAATAAACGCTCATTTAAACTTTGATGGTGCAAGAACTCTTAAAAAGTTGGGAGAGGGGGATGTTTATCGCTGTGTTACATCACTTCTTCTTTTAACAACACTCTGCAAGCACTTGGGAACAGAGGAGACCCACTGCTCCAGTTTTGAAAGAGTTTTGAAATAATTTTCTCATTGTTGCTTAATAAAGGATTTCAGCTGCAGGCTGGGCCCGCCACCAACACAGGATTTTGAAGACCGATATGACATGCGGTGATTTAGAAATCCAGTAAATGGGCCGATATTTTTTTTTCTTCAGCACCAGAAACATAAACAGATTTGCCTAATTTCTGCTATGTTTAGTTATTTATGAGTTCTTACTAAGATGACATGACAATGCGGTTTAAAAAATAATCATTTTATTGTCACTAAAAGCCGTTGGCTATTCTTGCTCTGCTTGGATCGGCTGGTTTTTCCGATTGTGGCAGGGAACTGGCTGTTATTTGCCGTAGGAATTTGCAGACAATAGACAGTCACCTTCACCACAGTTTCCATTGAGATCCTACCAGAATTGGGAGTTTCTGTATTTGGAGCTGTGTAGCTCTGGGGCAAACAGAACTGGTGCAAAAAATCTCACAAGACTGCTAAATTAGAAGTGACCCAGTATATAGTATAAATCCTCTGCCAGTTAAAATCAAAAGAGGGCGACATGCTTTATTGAAAATTGATGTAATACTTTATCAAAGACCTTTTTACTACTGCTGTCTATGAGCCAAATTAGACAACTAAAACACTTTTTTTTTTTTGTCTTTGCATACGTAGCTTTTTAGTGACGAGTCTTAACTCAGATGTATTGTCTCCAACATAAACTTAGGTTACATAAATGCCTGTCAGTACATCCTTTCTGTCTATTTTCTGTCCAGTCCTGTCATTTTCTACCCGGAGACAACCTGTTCTCAGGCTGTGGCATAGTGGCAGGTCAAATTTGTGTTTATGACAGCATTGTGTGCTCCAGCACTGAACACGGTGGAAAAGAACTGCAAACAATGAACCACAAAACATGACCTTCAGGGAGAGGTAGGCTCTGGACAATCTCTCCCCCCCCCCCCCCCCCCCCCCTTCCAAAAAAAGACTCAAATACAGGCACACAAAGTCAGATTTGGTGGGGCCAAAGGGGCGTCTTGTACATGCTGAGTGGCAAATGGTGTTTTGTCAGAAGACTGCTGACAAAGGCAACTGGGCCCTTTTGGTTTGAAACTGGAAGTAACTGAAATACAGCAAAACCAGTGGGACAGTGGCGCTGTATGACAGGATTATAACAGGTAATCCATCAGTTAATAGCAGGTTGAAAAGTAGATTATTTTAAACACAGCAAAATATTTGAAACAATACAAAGAATAATTAGTTCAACATTCTTATAGAGATCTATGTTTAAGTGGTGTTATTGATCTGGGTGTCACATTCATACAGATTAACTCCCCTAATCCAGGCTTTAACATCAGTCCCGTGTTTTTTAAGTGTCTGTTTAATTTGTTATTACACCATACATTTTTTTAAGGTAACTAATAATTATGAATCAGCTGTTATTGTCTTCATCATTAGCATGTATTCAATCTGTCGAGTGACAATTAATGGCACTGACAAAACATTACTATGTATTAGTAGATTATATCTTATTTTTTTGCGATCGCTGCTGTTCAAGCAGACTTGAGTTCAAAACACTAAGTTGAGGAAAACATCAACAACAAAGGGAATAAACAGACCAAGATCAAAAATCTGTCTTAGCTCCGCTGGAAAATCTATGTCACCCAGGCCTGGATCAATAATGAAATCAGATGCAAATTGTATTGTATAACACCTCATCAAAGAGAAACATATATGTCCATAAAAATTGTCAATGGGTTAACCGTTTGTGTTCAGTGGCGCAGAATGAGCCCGAGCTTACCCGGAGTTTAAGAGCCGATTGAGAAAGAGGGAATTGCATTACAAACAGGCAACGAGAGAGGATGATCAATAAAATATCAATCAATAGGCAGGCAAGAGGGTCGGGGTAGGAAAATTGGATGGCTCGAGCCTTCACAGATAATCGAAGACGCTAAGACAAGGGTCCCCACCCCCATCGTGCAACGTCTTTCTTTCTGTGATTGTCACCCCCTCCTTGCTTGTCTCAGTACCCCTCTTTCACCTCTCTTTCTTCAGTGCACCCCCTCCTGCCAGTCAGTACCCCTCTCAGGCTCCCCTTCAGTCCCTCTTCCCTCGATGTCTCTCCACTATCTCACCTCTTCTCCATTTCTCTCTCACTCCCACCCCCTCCACCTCTTTTCTTTTTCTCCAGTGCTCCCCCTCCTTCCTCCCGCGTCTACTGCAGCAGAAAAGCCAGCACCGAGAAAACCAGCATGTGTGTGTTTGTACATGAGTGTGTGTGTGTGATACTACGGTAAATCCACGAGCTAGCCTCACACGATCACCTGCAATGAAGGTGAAATTGAGAAAAAGCCCCCGCGTGCGTGTCGAACGCTCCGATCAAAACATTGATTGCTGGCGCGTTACATCACAGCCATGCAAACAAACCCCCTTTAAATCATTAGAGTAATGTCTCTCCTCCTGTCTCTCTTTATTTCCTCTCATCTCCCACTTCTTCCCTACGTCTCTCTCTCTCATCTGCCTCGTTGTATTTCCACATCAGCATCTCATTTTCTTTTCTTTATTTTCCCCTGTTTCTCAGCCCTTCTTCATCTCTGTCTCTTCACATGTAATTCGGATCCCTCAGGATTAAAAAGGTTCTGCCACACCGAACAGGACACTTTTAGAAAGAGCAAGGCTGGAATAGAAAAAGGAATGATCTGGGTCACATCGCTGTTTGACGTATGGCACTGGCATATCAGACCTACACAGCAAACTGGGGCTACGTTCTCCCACAAATACAGCCAATGTTTTGCAGGCACTGAAACGAATCCAACTAATCGCACCTTAACACCCATGTAGTATCGCCAACACCACTAACTGCAGCCATTATGCTGAATGAATGTTTTTGTATGATTCATGTGGTCTTTGCCTGTAGATGTAGTGTTTAACTGTATATTGCATAATACAGAGCATAACACACAGCACTCGAGCAACTAGACAGGAGCTACAGTAGCTTGCATCCGAGGTATGGCAACAGCAAAAATGACGCCTCCTTTTGCTTGGACCAAATTTGCATGTAAATCCAAACTATGTCTCCCTCCTGTATACATAACTACCCAGGTGAGTTGTTTCTATGGGATGGAGTGGAGGTAGACGGGGTTGGAGTAGCGAGAAATCAATCTGAGAGCAATTCTTAGAGAAGCACTTCCTGCCTGATCCCAAGTCCAGAGAGGCAGGTCAGGTGGCCTAAACCCAGACTATGTGTCAGTCACCATCTGCCACTTTTTTCTTCCTCTGGAGGGAACTGAAGTCAGGTATGCAGATCTATACCTGGCGCCAGAAGAGGTGCAAATGTATGTGTGAGTTTTGAAAACAGGGGGAGTGAAGGTATAGTCTCATCTGTGGATAACTGTAGATGTAGTATGTATTGCTGAGTGTGCAGTGATTTATGATTACATTTTCCCCACTCAGCTATTTTCAGCATGATGGCATGAATGCCTGGCCACTGCAGGTGTCTGCCGACTGTCTGGTTTAGAATGTGGACCTACAGTATTCATACATTCCACAGCACCAGTGGTTTCTCGCCTTCACACCTTCAAAACTGAAAATATCACTAGCAGCAAAAGCAGGGAGCAAGATGAGGATGATCAGAATATAACTCTCGATACACAAAATCAAAGCAGCTGTGATCAAACAGCTGGATATGCCTTTAAGTGAGAGGGGGGAGACCCGAAGCCAAATGTAACTGTTTTCACAAACCCACAGATCAAACCACAGTCGGGGGCACTTGTTACTCTTACACCTGTGTGATCAAATGCCATTAAACAGCTGCTTTTAGCAAGTAAATCATTAACTATTCACATGAAAACAATAAAGGCTATCCCAGCTCAGGAGTAAGTTATGCGTAACAGGAACAAGGACCGTGCGTAAAAGGCATGTAGCTTTCAACTGGAACAAGAAAAAAAATCAGCAGAGTGAAGCACTACCAAGGGCAAATGTGTGAAAAGACATGCAGTACAACACTGACGTTTCGACGTCGTAAAAGCTTGCTTTCGGCGTCGTGCCAGAATAAATACGACCAACATGAAAAACGGCACAGCGACGTGCATCACAAACGGACAAGCATCACCTAATGAAGGCGTTTGGATGCAGGAGGCGCAGCGGATGCTGCGTCCGGAGGCAGATACGCGTTAAACCTGCTGGAGCAGGAGAATGTGACGATGGAAATCATGATACCGAGACAAATGTGGAAATGTGATTGACAGTCTTCACTGTTACTTCGTCTAATACCCATTTACCAACACAGCTGACATATAGTTTCCCATTTTTTGTCTTGCGCTATCAGCATTAATTATTCAATAGCAGTAAGTCTACATACACCAACATTTAACTCGAGCTATACTGTTGGAAATAACACGCCAGCAGTCATAACTCTTCACTTAATTACGAGGGCTTGATTTTTCTGCTTTTGCAGGTAATGTTAACTGGATGACAAAAAAAAGTTTTTTTAAAACTTATCATGACTCAGGCAGTACTCTGAGATGTCATTAGTCAGAATATGCAACAGTAGCCTATGCAGAAATAAGTTGGTCCCTCTGAAAGAGACGTGGGTAACTCACCCGGGCATATTTGGAGGAATAGGGGTCTTCAAAGAGTGCCCATATTCTGGGTTGCCAGGTTTTCCACCAGCCCGCTTTCCTCGCGTCCTCTTGCATGCACAGTCTTTTCAAGTCCCCATCCGCACCACCCAGCGCCGGGTCGTCGTCTGGCGCGTCCGGTTCTGGAGTCTCGAAGCTATCCAGCGCCTCCTCCGCATCCCGATGCTGCCGGTAATTCATCCAGCAACAAGCCTCCACGTCCGTCTCATCGATGCCCCAGAAGGCCAGCTCCTCTTCGAACAGGGGACCGCACACATCGTTGGGACAGTGCAACTTCCCGGTGCGGTAATAGTTGAGGATGAAGGAAAACACCGACGGGTGGCGGTCGAAGAAGAACTCGTCTAATTTGGGGTCGTAGTCGAAGTTGCTGAACGCGTCCGGCTCGGTGAGCCACGACAAGCGGGTACCGGGCAACGTTTTTAGGGTGCTCCGGTAGGTCTCATGCCGCACCCCCCCGCAGTTTATCACGATTTTCTCGCTTTCCGACGGACAAGTCATGTCTGCGCTGTAACATGCTTTGTTGGACGACTTGTTCCCACCCTTGCGCCCTTTAAAAGAGGATACACACACCGAACTGAGCATAGAGGACCGGGGGGAGGGAGAGGATGAGAGAAACCGAAGGGAGGAGGAGGAGGGAGGAGTCTGAGGAGTCTGCGGGAGAGAAAAAAGGGCAGAAAATTTCAGCAGAAGGGAGAAATAGATGTGGATTATCAACATTGCAATACACATTAAAAATCACACGCTAATGCCAGCTGTATGTGCAATCATTCACTTGATAATCAGCCAGTGGAAGGGAGGAAGACGACCTTGTGCAGGTGCAGAGGGAACAAGGAGAGCAGGGATGGAATTGATGGGTTTTGTTTTTTTTTAAGCACAGCATACCGGAGCACACAAACATGCCAGAGCAATAAACAGGTGGCTTAGAGCACATTCATGAGTCAGCAACCATATGGGCTGACTGTTGACACCAGTGTGATGAGAAGATCCCAGATCCCAGTCTGGAGTTACTGTGCTATGTAGCTTTAGGGTCTCTATACTGATCTGGTTGATGCTCAAGTCAGTGTTCTAACTGAGCCACTCAACTCAGCTTCACCCCTCCTGCACAAATGCAGAAATCCTGTTCCTTTACCAAAGAGTCATGTGTGAACATAGAGGAGAACTGGGGATCTTTCTTATTATCCCCCCGCCTTTCCTCACGAATGCTGCTCTGACACGGTGGTGTGTGTGTGTGTGTGAGTGTGTGTTAATTGCCTCCCGAGAGTGTGGTGTCCGTACTAATGTTAGATCTCCTCAATCAGCCTATGCGTGTGCTACACACACTGCTGCAGCCCCCTCCGACCGCACTGAGATCCATGCAACGCACAGTTATGCCGATGCTCTCTCTGCTGTTCTCTCTCCCATGTACTCTGTGTGTGTGTGTGTGTGTGTGTGTGTGTGTGTGTGTGTGTGTGTGTGTGTGTGTGTGTGTGAGATGGCATGCAGGGATAGATAAGAGGAGGGGAGTGAAGTAAAGGTGAGAGGAAAAGGACATAAATCCGATTTTTCTTTCTTTCATTTTTTTAAATCCACCAAAGGGGCAAAAAGGACAGAACAATCAGGAGAACGAGGCTCAGACAATGACCTTATGAAGGGGGACAAAGCAGGGAGAAAGGGTGATTTTTGGAGAGAGGGGTGGAAAAAAGAGACAAAGTGAATGCAGCACTCTCACTGGGGGCATTTACAGCGAACAGCTACTGTAATATTGTCTCTCCTCTAGTAATGGAAGAAGGGGGTAGAGGAGAGTGTGTAAGGGGGCAGGAGGAGGAGGAGGAATTGCAAAGGAGAGTGCTCTATAAAAGTGAATGAATTCTGCTGCAGTAAAAAGCCAGAGTTATTTGCTCGCGCTCTCCCTCTGTTTCTACTCCAGGTGAGGTCGGATTGTTCACCCACAGGCTGCTCTGCCATCCAGAGGGGCTCGCGATGTTTCAGAAAAGCCACGTGATGGCAGCCGCAAAGGCCGTACCTGCACCACATCCATGTTGTGAACCTTTTTTTTATAGTCAAGGAAATGCACCACTCTCCTCCTCCCCCTCCTTTCCTGCAAGCTCTTAGTAGCCCTCCCTCCCCCCCACCCTCTGCCTAGTTCGACTCTCTCCCTCACTTTGTCTTCCTCACTTGCGCTCACATTCCGCATAAAGGAATCACATTTCATTGGAGGAAGGGGATCGGGGCTTCACTTCTTCTTCTCAAGTGTACCTGTCCGTCTCTGTCTTTCTCTCCAGTTCTTTCTACTACCCCCCTCCCTGTTTTCATTTACTCACTGCAGTCCTACAGTCTAATTCTCTCTTCTCTTCCATTTCTCTCGTCTTTGACTTCGCTCACCTCTTCCTCTCTTTTTCTCCTTTTCCAAAGTAAGCTTCCTTTCCTTCGGCTCCATCCTTTCCTTCTCCTTCCCCCTCTTACTTTTTGCTATCTTTCACACGGGATGCCACTTACTATGTGTCTTTCGCTTTGCTAGAGTTTAATCCTGTTCTTCTTGTCTGAAGGAGCAACTTTTTGGTTGTCCATGGAAAAGTTTCCTGTGTCTTGGCAACACTCAGGTAAGATCCAGCAAAATCAAGGCTACTGCATGGATTAAGCACTAACTGTGCACAGGAGACAAAAACTTAAAGTAATACATCCTAAGTTCACAGATCAGAAAACAAATCAAAGTGTTAGATGCCTTAAGTTTTTTTTTTTTTCTGTGGCAGTCTTACTTCTTTGCAGTTTTGTTTTTCTGCTGTTTTTTGGTTTGTTTTTGGGTGCAGGAGCATTCAAACTGCTTACTTGACAGAAAAGAAAGAAAAAACTGTGAATTTGTTAGTTGCACTGCATTATCGTGCCAAAGTACTTTTAGTTTGATGCTTTAAATAGAGCCTGAAGAAATATCTGCAACAAACAGAATGTTTGGAGTGATGAGGTCAGAGAGGGAGAGTGTAAAAAGATCTTAATCCACAGTCAGCTTTGTCCGGTGGGGCTTCCCAGCAGAGAACACTTGTGTTGTGGGGTGGATTATTTTTCAGCACCACGGACAGCGGCACTCTTTCACTCTCTCTGCTCAGGAACTTTTAAGAAGCAGCTTCTGTGAACTCCCTGTGAAACTTCCATCCTTTAAATAACTTTTTGCGTTGTTGCCATTTTAACTTTGACACATCGTGCCCTGACGTGTTCTTCACAGGCAGTCATGGGATATAGTTGAACTTCTGAATATTTTATACGTGGACAGCCGCAAGCCTGTCACTGCAGTTAAATGCCTTTTTGTTCCCTCACACTTAAACATGGTGGGACTATTGATTCTCATTAACCGTTCTTTCATGTACCAGAACGTGTAGGTTAAGTGGGAAAGGGCTCAGCTGGGCTCTCTCTCACACTCTTTTGGGGAATTGTTAAAGCCTTTAAGTTTGAACTTGAGCTAATGTTGCCATCATTGTGACAAGATTGCCTGTAAAGAGTTTAGAGGTGAGGTGAGTGCTTTGCATTTCAGTTCATCTTAATACAGGGGAGGTAAGCACTTCTCTTTAAGAGTCAGCATCAGCACCTTCAGCACTGACAGCAGCAGCACAAAAACACACGGAAGGGGGGGGCTAAAAGTGGGGAAGTAAGGCTACAGAAGGTGCAAAATGAAGAAAGTAAAAAAGCAGCGGTTATTAAAAACAATGATGGAGAGAAAGAAGAGAGAAAGGTTCGAGAAAGAGGATAAAAATTGAAGGAGAAGCAAGTAGGAGGAGGGGGAGAGTGCTGAGGGAGCAAAGTGAAGGAACAATCCCCTCGCCTCCTCTCTCCTCCCCTCCAGCATCACTACTTTCTTTCTCCTGCAGCTTTTCCTGCCTTGGCCACCATGTCCTGCGCCACCCTGCTACTACTGCCTCACCACTGCACACATACAGAGGGGGAAGAAAGCGAGAAGGAGAGGGGAATGAGGGAGGGAGTGAGGGGAGGGGTACACTCACACACACACATGCTCACCTGGCTACAATGAAAAGACTGAGAAAAAACACACACACACATTTTGGAGCCGAAAAGCAACTTAATTTTCTAAACCTTTTAGGGCAGGAGATCACGTCTGCAGATAGATATGGAGAACGGGTCTCAGAGAGGAGGAGCGCACGCGCGATGCTCGTGCACAAAGACTGCACTGACGCTAATATATATTAGCAGAAACACTGCAGCAAGAGGGGGAGGGAGCACGAGATTATGGGATGCATTGACTGTGAGGTACCAGCAGCAGCACCGGGGTGGGGGGGTGGGGATGCTAGAGAGAGAGAGAGAGAGAGAGAGAGAGAGAGAGGAGGAGGAAAGAGAGGAATTTGGAGGAGTGCTGACTATGCGGAACAGAACGAGCAGTTGGCAGAAAAAGCAACAAAAAAAATAAAAGAACAATTACCAATCGCAGAGAGGGAGATGGGAAGAGATGAGAGACACTTAGATGTGCTGGAGAAGGAGAAGAGGGGAAAAAGTAGGGGTAGGGAAGGTATAGGACAAAGTGAAGAGTGGTGGGGCAATGAAAGAGAGGAGCCAAAAACAGGTGGGGGAGGAGGAGGAGAAGCACAGAGAGGAAGACCTTGCAGTGGTTCAGGATAGCACCTGAATGTACGTGAAGGCATGTGTGTAGAAGGAGAGGGAGGGAGATGTCCTGCAGTACCAGCAAAACGCATGAAAACAGCAGAGTGATTAAAAGAGGGCGAGCAGAGGAAGGAAAACCAGTGTATGGATGTAAAACAGACACACAGCTGAGCTGAATGGCAAATGTGCCGCTCGGGTGGGGGGAGAGGAAGGCTTTACAGGCAAGTGTGTAATGTATGTTTATGTATGCGCGCGTGTGTGTGCGAGGGAGAGAGGAGAGACAGCGCAAATTACGTATGTGTTTCTGGTGTGCAGCCATTTTTTTCCCACCAGCTACCTCATCAAAGGATGTAACCACAAGGCTTCACGCTGTTCCATCCATATCGCCTCCCTCCCTCCCTTCCTCGTCCCCCCTCGCTCTCTCCCCTCTCGCGCACTCCCCAGTGCTGAGGAGACCCCAGCAGGAGAAACCGAAGCACTGCAGCATGGTAAAAAAGCAGTGCGGTCACCTCCCCTTTTAGTGCGGTGTCACACCACGCTCTGTCCTCCCCCCACCTCCCCCTTTTCCACTGTCACTGCACCTCATGCTCTGACTCTCTTTCTGCCAGGAGAACAGAAGATGTGTGTGGGTGTTTGTGTCTGGATAGTGGCATGGGGTTGGGTAGAGTATGAATAGATATGAATAGCAGGAATTACATGAATGGATGCAAAGGAAGCAACAACAACAACAAAAAGGAAAAGAAAAAAGGGTGTGTATGCAAAGAAAACGGGGCTCTGAGCAGCTCTCAGACAGCTTAATCTAATGAAAAATATGATGTAAGCGGGCACCACACATCAAAAATAATAATAACAATGACAAAGCTCACTAGTGGCCAATTCCCAGAACATGAATTAAAGAGCCAATCAATTAAGGAGGCATAAAGGAAATGGCCAATCAACCGGAGGCATCTCCTCCACTCAGCAACACCAGTGTGTAGATCTCCCGGGGGCTGACCAATCCACAAATACCGCAGCACCAGCACCCCCAAGGGGGGTCTTGAGCCTTGTGCATATTGGTCAATCACCCCAGCCAGAAGCATGCAGCAGCAGCAGCTGCTCCCTTTCTTTTCAGGAAAGGAAACATATCCCTGGAACGTTTGTTTTAATGATGTGGGGGGATGGATGGGGGGGGGGGGGGGGGGGGGGGATTAATACATAAAGTCATTTTCAGGAATAGACTGGCTGCAATGAAGCCTGTAATAGAGCTCCGAAGCTCAGTCAGTGTCCATGACTAAAATCTTTTCTGCCTACAGGACGATGAGGGCTGACTTTTTTTTTTCTATTTGGATAGATCTGGGTGATACAGCATGTAGGGTGAAGGAGGAGTGATGGAGGAGGACGTGCTTCAAGGAGAGGTCATAACAATTCTGAAACAGCACTGAGCACAGGGGGGGTAAAGGCACAGGATAGTGTGTCATGTCGGGAATGAACTCTATTTTTGGACATGGATAAATCTGAGCGAACATCCTTCAGTATTCAAACTTTCTTGGAGCATTTGCATCAGAAGCAGATAGCTTCATCCCCCAAACCTCCCGTCTCTCTTTTAGGCAATTTAAACCTGTCTCCTCCTAATTAATGACACTGCCCTTCCTGCATGATTAGGACCATTATGATCCAGCAGTGCAGCGATGTGGTACATGAGGCCAGACAGACAAATGGGACGAGGGAAGAGGTATTACTGGACTAATTTCTGACCTGTGAACTATCCAGCGATTAGACATAAAAGCAGGGCAAGGTTAAGTCACAGATGGGAGTCTAAGCAGGTGGGGAGTAGGGCGAGAAGTTTTAAAGCAGAGCTATAAAAACAAGATGGCATGAGAAGAAATGACATGAAATTTGATCTTGAGGTGAACCTCAAGGTCAAGTGGTGGAAAGAAAGAGGGCGTAAAAGACCGGCTAGGCTCAATCAGGTGGTAAATCAGATGAAAGACGGGAGGAAACTTCATAACGGAAGACGGGAAGCGAGAGAAACCATCAGAGTCTCGGAGAAGAGACAGGGTCAGAGGCAGGGACACACACACACTAAACCCAGGACACGACAGATCAGTAATTCAATCACTGCCTCAAAATAGATTATCCCCCCCCCCATTGCTTAAACAGCAGCGCCCTCCTTTTCAAGCCCCATCACTACTCTGCCAATCACATCAACCGACAGCATGCCACCGTCTCTGGAGTTTTTCCCCCCTTTTTTTCCCTTTTTTCTTGTGCTAAAATCGAAGGGGGTGTTTTCTGGGTTACCCTTAATCTAAAAATAGCACCAGCTGTAGATTTATAATGCAGGATGCTGGGGGCAGAAGAAGAGAGTGCAAATGGAGGAAAAGATGTAGAGTTCCCATTAGGGGGAGAGCACGTTGGAGCCAGTTGGCAGGAAAAGGAATGCATGTGCTGGATAAGTGACAGCAGAAGAGGCATTATGAAACCAGAGACTTTGTGTGTAATGCAGCGGAACGTGGCAGAAGCAGATTGTCAGAGTATAGGTGAAGTGGTGGCGTGGTGGGTTGTAGGGGGAAGAAGAAGAAGATGACCGTGTCTAGACATTTAACTGCCCTGCTAGACTTCCCAGATGAGACGCTATAACCTTCCAGTAGTTCCACTCCAGTAACCCCCACCCTTCATATCATCCTCACAGCATCTTCTCCTCTGTGTGTTTGTGTGTCAGCCCTCTCACCCTACTCCTATAGTGCCTTTATCAAACCTCCATTTCAGGCCTTGACACTTACCCAGTGCTGCCACGATGCACAAGCAAACACACAAACACGCACACACTGAAAGCACATGCAGGTAGGACAAATGCATGCCTGTAAATGCGCAAAAGCAGCACACACATGGAGTTATTTACTCATGCAGACAGACAAAATGATGCAGATAGGAATGCATACACACACACACACATACACATAGATGCACACACACACATTCCTCTCAGAAGCGTGAAACTGCTCTGATCTAGTGGTGTAGATGGGGAAACACCCACCATTTGTGCAATGAAGGATGTTAGGGATTATAAAATGGAACAATTCTGAGGCGTCATATCAGTGGGCAACACTAAATCAGACTGAATTTCTCTTATAGCAGCTAGAAGGAAAAAATAATAATTAAAAGAACAGAACATATCCTGATTTCTCCACGTACTGATTTTAAAACATGAAACAGGATACAGAAATATTTTGCAGATATTGTGGGAAAGACACGATACTTGTTGAATGCAGGTTAGAGGCTGTATTTTCGCCTTTTTTTAATCCAGGCCAATAAAAACCCTCTTGATATTAGGCGGATAAAACGCAGAATATAAAACCACCATAAAAATACAGACAGATACACAGACACGGTTAATACTCACTTGCTTTTGGTTCTGGTTCGATTCGAGTGCGCGCAGAAACACGCACATCAAGCTTTAAAAAGATCAATCAAAATGTAGTTTTCTTTGTTAGATTGCTCTTTCTTACGATTTCACAGAGTATCCAGTTTCTCGCAGGCATTCAGCTGATCTGTTTTTGGGGGTTTGTTTGGGTTTTTTTTCTGTTTTTTGTGGAGGGTTTTTTCCTCCACGCGATTATAATAAATCAGAAATAGGATTGCGCGCGACTGTTGCTGGAAATCTTGTTTTGATAGCGTTATTGCCGAATGTTACTTAGAGCTTATGGTCATGCTGATGATGGCACGGGATGAGTCTTTCGGATGAAATGAAGCAGAAGTCCCCCTGAAAAACAAAAATCTGTCTTTTGGCTATTTCCCCTCGATTTCAGAGCCCCTTTCCCACCTTTGTTATTGCCAAAAACAAAAATAATTGCCAGCCTTTGTTACAGTGTCTCTACGCTTCCAGGCGCAGGGTGTAGCTACCATTCAGCTCTTCCTCTGTCTCCCCCATCCAAATGTTTCAGTGGAGATGCAGCCTGTAGACACCTCGCTCTCTTTGCCTTTCCCTCTCTTGTGCCTCTCTCTGTTCCTTTGGAGGAGCGTCACCTTCTGCACTATTTTTTTCCTCAGACGATACATGTGGGCGGATTAGAGAAGAAGACAGAGGGGTGGGAGGACCCCGGTGAATACAGAGGCTAATTTCTCATATGGCTGCTGAACTTTATAAATACATATGCTGAGGAGAGAGAGAGAGAGAAAAAAAATACACGCTGGGCTATAAAAATAATAAATGCGCTGATTTATTTTCATTTGTTTAACTGCCTGTTTTTTCTCTCCCCCCGTTTCTCCCCCTTCACTTCCCCACTTTAGCCTGGAGCCCACACATGCTCACTCTGCTGGACGGACGCACAAACACCATTTTGTCTACAGGTTCGCAGCCTTGACTCTGCCTTGGCTGACATCACCAGTCATGTGGTACAAGCTGGTGGATTATGTCTGAAAACAGTAAAAATACAGAAAAATTGGCTTTTTTTCATCTCTGCTATCATACATTAAAAGAAAAAATCTGAAATTCTTGAAATAAGTGAAGCTGCATGGAGAATATTCCCTTTATAGCCTGTAATATTATACAAAGTGTCACAGGATTAACAACATGATTTTTAGGTGAATCTTGGGGCGAAAACTCTGCTTTCTACCTGCTGCTTTTACAAGAAGACTAATGGTATGTGGAGACGACTTCTAGCAAAAGTACAGAGATCAGCAGGATATCTTGATGGTGCACTTACTGGCAGGAAACTGTCAATGAGAGCTGCATCATCTCATGAAACTTACAAGGAAGAAAAGTCCTTTGACCACAAAATATTCCTGTAAGAGCAAAGTGCAGACAGAAAACCAGTGAGCTAAGGAGACAAAGGAAGGTGGGAGATATTTAAGGATATTTACTGATTTTTTTATGGAATCAAACACTGAAAACTGTAACATCTGAACTGTAATGTGATAGTTTATCCAATGCATCCCATGCAGTCTGTGCAAGGAAAAGGGGCTTTATGCTGTAGGGCATCAAAATATAAATACAGTCAGCTATTCTGAACAGGAAGCCTGAGTCTTTATTTTCTTTTTCTTTCTCCACTAAGTTGAAAAATTAAAATGATTAACGCAGGAGCCATTTGTGTCTTGCAAAGCAGCTTTTAAGTCCTTTTTCAAGTAATTTTTCAAATTAAGTCACCTTTTACGAACCTTACAGATCTAAGCACAAAATCTAGAAGCTGCTTTTTCCTCCCTCAGGGAACACGCCTTCATTTATACCTCCAAGAGCCCTGCGGCATTGTCTCAGATCAGTCAAACGTATGATTTATAGAGGTGTCAAACTCCTCTACACCACAGTTTTTTTTTTATCATAAAACCATCTAAAGCACTTGGTGTATTGGCAGTACTATGAGTCTTTGGCCAAGACAGCAGCAGCTTTATTGGGCTTTACTGGACAAAAGCCAAAATTTGCATGTAATGCTCTCAGTAATGAAGCTGGTGTTTAGCACAAATTATCTACCAAATTCATCATTTTAGCATTTAGCCTGAGGATTGTTATTCCATCTGCAGTCATTTCAGTTTGGTGGCACAGCTCTGCTTTGGGACTTCCCCACCCTTGCATAACTGTGCATGGACAGCCTGAGGCAGGGAGAGAAGCGACAGGAGGGGCGTTTCCAGGATTTAAAAAAAAAATGGGATGGCAAAGGGAGGATCCAACAAGAAATCAGAGAATTCTATGAGAAATAAACAATAAACTAAATGTGTTTAATTGTACTGAGTGGTAGAAGTACACAAGAACTATAAGCACAGATCCTTTGTTTACAGTTTGCAAAGGAAAGCAGTCAGAGTGCAGTAGGAACACAAAGGACCGCTGTTAGGTACACTTGGGAGAGCCTATCTTTTAGACCCTATGAATTTATAGCTATAATTAAAACAGTAGCTTTCACAGCCCGCATTATTTAGCCTTAGATAAGTATAAATTCACAGTGATACACTGAGGAGGATAAAACTGCTCATGAAACTAAAGAAAAGTCTTAAGTGATTAAAGTCAGTGTCAAAGAGTTATACACACTATTTCTAATGCCTGGATATAGTGTTAGACAATATGTAGGTATTAAATAAAAGCTTGACAAGTCATATAATTCACAAGAGATTTTACTGCAAATTCTGAAAAAATCTGTGCTAATGAAAAGGCCTCAATGGCAGATTTTGAACTGGCTACAGTGCAATCAATTGTCTGAAATAATCTGTCCAGACTGAAATAATCCAGTCTGGACCAAACTGGAGGAACAATCAACCATCAGACTCTTCTTCTTCTTTTGGCTGCTCTCTTTAGGGTTCGCCACAGTGGCTCACCTGCCTCCATCTACCACTATTCTGTCCTAGCGTCCTCCTCTGTCACATCAACACTCCGCATGTCCTTCTTCACTGCATTCCCAAACCTCCCCTGTGGTCTTCCTCTTTTCCTCCTGCTTGGCAGCTCCGTCTTCAACATCCTTCTTCAACTACACCCACCATCCCTCCTCTGCATGTGTCCAAACCATCTCAACCTTGCTTCTCTAGCGTTGTCTCCAACATGCTCAACCCAAGCTGCCCCTCTGATGTACTCATTTCTAATTTTGCCTATTCTGGTCACTCCCAGTGATCATCGTAACATCTTCAACCACTGCCACTGGTTGGTCTGCTGTCTTTTTGTCAGTGCCATACGTCACAGCAGGTCAGACTGCCATTTTATAAACCTCGACTTTTACTCTTGCTGCTGCCCTTTTGTCACAAATCACCCCTGACACTCGTCTCCACCAGCTCCACTGCCCACACTCTCTTCTTCACCTTTCTTGTGCATTGTCCATTGTTTTGGATAGTGGACCATTTGTAGTCCTTGCACCTTCACAGCCACATCTGTCTACACATGTTCTATTTTGCTTCTACTGATTTTCATTCCTATTCTCTCCATTGCATACCTCTAGCTCTCCAGACTCTCAGTATAGATTACAGCATCATGTGCACGTCCACTAAGAGTCTTGCCTGACCTCATCTCTCAGCCTGTCAGTCAACCCTTATGTAAACCCACCCCCACCTTGAACCAATATGCCACATCTGCCACACACCTCACCACTGTGTGGCTGTCCCCATAAATGTAACCAACCAAAATACTAGCATGGCCCAAAGTCAAAGAGCTGCTAAGCTAAAACCTAATGTACCAACTATGTCCAATAACAACAAGACTATCAATCACTGCTCATCAAGGCACCATTTTCTGCTTTCAGTTCAAAGTGAAGCCTTGCTTTGTGGCCAGAACAGACGAGCAGGAAGTCAGCCACAGAAAGTAGCTGACACTGTTTCTTCATCAACCTGCATAAATACTGAATGCTCAACTTTGTCCATACTAAGAGTGAGCATTAGTCATCACAGACACTCGCAGTCAATCTCTGGGCGGCAGCATACCGCAGCTCATGCATAAGGAAGCAGGTAGCAGACCTGAGCATACATCGTGTGGACGAGACAAGATTTCCTGCATTGAGAAAGAAGCTGTGAAAATGCCCTCAATCTCATAGGTTCAACACAGTTTCTAGTAATCTATTTAGGAGTTATTGTTCCTACTGCAGAGGTGGATGTTGAGACCTTTACGTAGTTAAAAAATGAAAGAGGGCAGGACTAAAAAGCCTATACAAAAATAAAACCTCCCGAAGCGATCTTAAGGCGTTTGATGCATTTTATGTTCGGTGGAAGGTGTACAAGGATATACAATTGCTTGTGGTAAGGGAACGAGACAGAACACACAAATCAAACAGAGCAGAGCTGCTGTTTGTATGCTGTGTGGGACCAAGCACCAGATGTCAACAACAGCCGCAGCAAAGTGCAGTAATTGGGAAGACTATAAGAAGCCTTTTAAAGAGTTATTAACTAGTGGCGTGTGAGCAACAGCAGTAATGCCTCCAGTCTCACGATGTGATTTATGAAATGAGTCAAAGCAGTCTTATTGTCATGGTGTTTCCTACACTGCTGTTAATATCGCCTCGAGCTGACTTGTTTCTATTGTTTATTGGGCAGTGTGTAATTATCTGCTTCATTCAAGATTTTTTAAGGGAAAAAAAGAACTATTGTACTACTGTAGCTTTAAACAGTGTACACTCAGACACATGCAATGCATGTGATTAGAGGTGGTTTGCTTTTCTGGACATAAATCTTGACCTTTCTTTATAATAATGTTTTGGACACAGAGGTGAAAGTGCAATTGGGGATGCCCAGCACATCAGTGTTTTGTAGTAAACAGAAACACAATCTGTTGCATTTCTTTAACTTCAAATAAAGAAAAAGTATCTTGGTGTGGTTGTCTTTATTTCCTGTGTGTTTGTGATAACTTGTCTAGACTGGTGGCACTTTTGAATGTATCATTTATGCAAACTCTTCAATTGAAAAGGTGGAAAATCTGGAATCACATCACTGAATAGACAGTCCTCGCTTCTGTTAGCTATTATCTTGTCCTCAGAAGTTAATAGAAGCTATGTAACAGCCACCCCAGGAGAGAAATATTGATTAAAAGATAGGATAGTGCTAAACTTTATCAACACACCTTCAACAGTTACATTAAATCCAATGCAACTTGACGCCTCCCATAAAACCTGAGTAAAAGCGTACAGAGAGCGCTGTTTTTCATTTTTAAGGCTTTAGTATTTAGATAGTTGAAGCCCGGACATCCAGTAATGGATTTCTCCCTTTAAATTCAGCTGTTTGTTTGCTGTAGTATATACCTACATGTGACCACCGGGCAAGGCATGGTTACATAGTTTGAACTGTCAGCATATGGAAACTGCTGCTTTATTACATTACAACCAAAAAATATTTATATGCAGAAAACAAAAGTCATGCTACCATCTTGTGTCAACATATTAGGGCACACCAGCATCTGCTGTGCTACCTGAAGCCTTCGCACTACCTGTCAGAAACCCACAGAGAACCTAATTTAGAGCCTGGAGGCTGCAGACCGAGGGCACGTGCTTTCAATAAAGTACAGCGTAGAGCGCATCAGCTCCCGGGCTGCAAATCACGCTGACACACTGCTGGCAGGCAGGGGATTTCTTACTTTATCACCATGACATAGTAAAAATAAAAATCTAAATAAGGCCTGCATGGGATTACGTAAGGAAATACTGGATTTGAGTAATAAATGATTTAAGCTGCACATTTGGTTGCACTCACAGCAAACGGTAACGTTTGTCCTCTTTAATGGCTTTTCTGATGTTTGTCAGAGAAATGGGAAATGAAGTCTCAGTAATCATGAACTAAATGTGAGGCAGCAATTCATGTCTTGACATCAGCTTGCATTAAATGTATTAAGTTTTTTAAAAAGAACTGAACCTCCTGTGGTTGTATTAGACTGTGACGACAAAAAAATATACATAGCAGAATTAAACGAATTACATCTTTTGTTTTATTTATACTTTAAAAACAGACATTTTTACAATCTTTGTATATAAAGACTCTGTTCTAATCCCTGCATGAGTCAGTCTGGCACACTGAGGAACAAAACTTCTTGATTTGCAACTCGATAAAGTCTTTCACAGCCTGCAACGATCTCCCCGAGCGACTTAGGCGGATGAAACCGGTCACTATCTGCGAAAGCATTTAACACGCTTTTTGTTGCGCCAGATCTCACAAAAGCTCAGGAAAGTCACGCTTTTATACAATCACAGGGTCAACATCCCTCACATTAAAATAAACAAAAATACACAGTTGTTTTTTCTTCTTAAAAGAATCCTTTGATCACTTCAGTCAGCTCTGCTCTGATCAGGAGATCATCTGTCCTCTTCTTGTTTTGAATTTGTAATCCTCAGTGATTCTTGTCTTTGGGAAGCTTGGCCTTTCTCTCGCTCCTCTTGTCCAAGAATTTGTTTTTCCTACTCACTTTAATCTCTGCCTCCCACTGCTTTTTCACCATTGTGTACAGCCTCATGGTGGCCTGTGCGTCTTGGACCTGGAGAAAGCAACAGGCAAAGATCAGCCCAAGTGTTACTAACATTGTTGGGCAATAACACACTGGTTGTTTCTACATGCTGCAGTACTGCTGGGTCGGTGATTTTAGTCCACTGTTGGATGATGACATCATGAGATTAACAATAAAGTTTTCTAGATATAGAATAAATGTTAATGTCATGAATATAAAGTGACACGATGCTTTTGTAAGATGCTACAAGTGCTAAAATGCTGCAAATTGACCATTTGGGTAAGTGGTTGCTAACGAGAATATTACTATTATATACACTTATCTTCTGGCCTTGAGGGGTCAAAGATATACCCGTGTGCCAATTTTCGGTCACTCAACCCTGATGATTTAAAAGGAGTTTATCGAATGACTTACAGATGAATGTTCACCCTCTTGGACCTTCACATCGAGGATTTTTCTACAAAGGAGTTTGAGCGAGGGTCGACCGCTCTAAAACAAAAGAAAAATGCCTCATTATCAGTTATAATTCATTCACACATTCACTGCGGAAACTGTTGAGACATTGGTGACTGCATCATACCTTTACGATCGTCTTAAAGGGTTTATATTTCTGAGTATCTCTGATTTTCTTTTTCGGATGATCCAAGAGCAGAATCTGAAACGGCAGATAGTTTGTGGCTGCTCATAATCAGACTAAAAAACAATATTGCATTTGTTCCATTTCAGATATCACATCCATGCTACCTTTAGATCATTGTGTATGGCGTGTCCAACCACTACTCTCCCTTCCAGGATGTTAGCAACCTCCCTCTGTACAATCTGTACATCCGCTCCTGCAGAGAGACAAACGTGGCTTAAAAAACATCAGAAACAAAACATAAGGAACAAAGAGACTTTAAGTTGTTCTTTGCAACTCATTTCATTTCTCTCACCATCTTTGATGTCCTCTGGTCGGATGCCGCTGACAGCTGTCCTGTAGTCTGTTACCTTCTCTGTGGGCTTCACATATTTGTCATAGATGCACTTCCCAAACTGGTTCACAATTGACACACGTGCCAAGATGCTGTCCTCTCCGTCAGGACCAACTCCCACCATCTCACAGTCAATGGCCACCGCCTTAGTGAGGCTTAAGGTGAATGACAAAGTGACAAGAAAGGAGAGACATTACAATCATCATCTTCTGTGTCAATGTAAACCCCTCAATGTACACCGAACGCAGTGGTTGCTTCGCTCGCTGACATGATTTTACACTTGCATCTTTAACCCTTGCTCGACACTTCAGGCTACAAAAATTGAGAGGTGCATCCATCAGGAGTCACAGGTTTTTCCACAGCATTTATCTGTATTATCAGTGACTTTCTACAGCAATGTAGTGAACTCTGAAGCGGTATTGACAGGTTGTGTCACCACAAAGTACAGTGAAGGATTTGAATTGTATAAATTCCATTCAATAATTTATCCATCTCCATATCCTGCAGAAAACATTCAGCAACCATGTTTACTTCATACTCTGTCAGGTCAATTCACTAAAACATGCAATGACAAAAGTATTTATCACAGACTATATGTAATATTTGACTCCTTGAAGGAAAGCTCCATGAAGCTCTCCACTGAGGGGGGAAAAATAGTCTCCATCTCCTTTGGGTCATTCCATCTCATCAATTTCATCAAATTAAAAAAATAAAAATCCCACCTGATCATCATATCTAATGGAAAAAAAAATATATTCCTGTGGAACGATACACTGTTCATCAGAAATGCCAGGTTTCTGCTGTCATTAGATCTTTCAGAATATATGGTGGGGGGAGTGTGTTTGACATTTTTCAGGGGTTCTGTGAATATGGGCTCTCAGGAGTGTCGCTCAACTTCATACAGAACGAGTCCCTGAAATAATTGGATATCTGATCTTTGACAGCAGATCCAGAGAACTGGAGAAGGTGGGGGGGGGGGGGGGGGGGATTGACAATTTACTTTGAGCTTCTTAAACACGAGGCACATAATGTTGTCGACCCAGTTGAGCGGTTTCAGAGATATTAAAGTCTGACTTTTGGGAAAAACACATTTTGTGTGACATTATGTGCCAAATTCACATTGTTAATATTACATCCACAGTTAATCACAGCCAGCTAATCCCACCCCAGCAGCAACATTACTCTGAAATACTTGTATTGAGATAAGTAATGACATTAGAGACTTGATATTTTTTATGATCGCTGTTAAGGCATTCATCTTCCCCCGGGAATATTTTCAGGCACTTTTCTAAAATGGCATCAAAGCTGCCCGCTGTATTCTGAGTGTGTTTCCCACTGTACACTGAATGCACAGCGACTTACCCTTCAAAAGCATTCTCCTTAACCAGGCTCTTCTCTGTGTCATTAGCCGAGGCACCATCCGTACCCTTGGCCTTGCCCTGCTTCTTCCTCATGATCTCGGCTGCTTCTGCTCCCATTGTCGCCTCAATGTCATCCGGGTCCACGTCATCAAACCAAAGGTCCTCTCTGCAACAGCAGAGAATGAGATGGGATTATCAGACATATTTATTCTTGCTGAATAAATGAGTCAGCGTCAGTGCTAATATATACATACTCTGTTGGCTTCGTCTCCTCGGATTCAAGCTTCTTCTTCTTAGCTGCCTGTAGGCTGTTTGGCTTCCCGCTATCCCGCTCTCTTTCTGGAGCAATAACATGTTTAGTCTTCGAGACATTCGACACCTTTGAGTTGACCCCAGTCTTACCGGAGACAAAACTCTTAGGAACAGTTTTGTGATCTGATTTATTCTCAGTGTCTCTCTGGCTTGGTGCAGCATTGTTCTTAGAAATTATTTTAGAAGTATTTTCTTGGACATTCTTTGGCGAGAAGCCGTTCTGATGTCTTGGTGCTGCCGGCTGCTTCTTCTCTGACTGACTGGCCTTCAACAGCTGAAGGGAGTAAAATAGGAGAGAAAAACCTGTGGGTAGTATTAAACACAGGCACACAAAAACCAAAGTGTGTGACAGGACATGCATGGAGCTCAAACTATTGCACTCACTAACCTCTTGAAGTGCTTTCCAGTTGGCAGAGAACTGCTGGGAGTCTTTTGGAGGAGCAGTTTGTGGAGCTGTAGGCTTTTCTTGCTCCTTGTTTGCAGGAGCTGAGTAAAACCAATGCCTCTCGTTCTTTTTTAATATGCCGTTTTTCTTATTAGTTTTCCGCTTAGATGCTTGAGCGGGAAAGTGTTTTTTCTGTTTCTCCACCTTAGACATGATCACCTATCTCATGTATCCTCACCTCCTTATATTTTTCTTGGTGAGGTGTGTGAAGCCACGCTGGCTTGTCAGATGTCCGTTACTTGAGTTGCCAAACAACTTCAGACAGTAAGAAATGCCTCCCCCAGACTAAGCTCACCTTTCGTCCAGCACACAAGCAAAACTGAAGCACGTCCCTGAACTGTACATAAAATCGCTTACTCGTAAAACTTCACTCACTCCGAAGCCATGCCGTAGAGTGTTTTCCCACGATGTGCAACAGTGAAATGTGTCCGTCACAAACATGACGTCGTGCTGTAGCGCAAGTGCGTCACGTCAGTAAGATATGAAAAAAAATCTCCGACCGTGCTTTTGTTTTACAATTATATACATGTGAAATTTTATATAATTAACGTAAAAAGTCATGTATTGACGCTTGTTTTGTGGGCGATTCAAAGGCGGAACTAATGTTTTAGAAAGGGTTTCGCATCGTTCTGAGGAAAAATGACGGACCGTGGCGGAAGGCTTCATGGCACTAATGTAAAAAAACACAGTGGGTTTTGATAGACGTATTAAACCCATGTTGTATTACTCTGGATAATCATCAGGCATATAATTAACGTGGTAATTAATGTTAAGCATCTGAGTAAAGTTAGCGTTTAAAGGAGCAAAGAAAAACGTATTTCCAGGTATGTAACTTCTTTTTGGGGCCTGAATGTGTTATTGCTGTCTCGTTGCTCTCCCACACGTTTCTGTCTGTGTTTTGGTTGTAGATCATGTTGGAAAACTCGCCATCTCCTCTGCCTGAGAGGGCCATTTATGGGTTTGTTCTCTTTCTCGGATCACAGTTTGGCTTCTGTAAGTGAAATATCGCGTCCTCCAATCCAAAACACAAAAAGGTGTTCAAGCAATGCATGTCTGTAATACTCACTGCGTCTCTCCACAGTTCTGTATTGCTTATGGGCTTTCGTGCCAGAGGATTGGCTTAATTCAATAGGGCTCACTTACTGGCCTCAAAAGTAAGTAGAACTGCTCTGAAATAAATGGATCACTGGGGAAGCACCTGCACAGTTTCATGACAGTGTCAAATGTGTGTTCTGTGTAGGTACTGGGCTCTTGCGATGCCAATCTACCTGCTGGTCGCAATAACAGTCTGTTTCATTCTGTTATTTGGTGTGAACATGAGCAACACGGCACCGCTGGACTCTGTGGACAACATCACAGGTGAGGATGCTGCACTGTTCAGACTCTGACTGCTTAGGTCTGATTAGGTTAACTAACATTTAGAGTGAGAAGATGAAGGAATATAAAATTGTACTGCGTGAGAATATACATGTAAACAAGCTGAAAATAAAATGCACTTCAGTATATTACACTGATTGGCCATTTTATTAGGTGCTTTCTTATAACAAGTGGTTATCTGAGTTACTGTTGCCTTCCTGTCAGCTTGAAGCAATCTGGCCATTCTCCTCCTGTTGTGTGGGGAAAATCCCAGTAGATTACCAGCTTCTGAAATATTCGGACCAACCTGTCTGCCACCAACAACCATGCCCCATTTTCAGAATTTCCTGATTGTTAAATGTCCTTTTTCTGTCACAGATGTGTATGCACAAGGCCAGAGCACCGAGTCCTGCCGTAACGGAGGAATACCCCGATTGAAGGATGTGTCGATTAGTGAAGTCAACAAAATGTTCTATTTATCACCCAGTATGTAACAAGCACAGTCTGATACTGCTGTGGACAGAGCAGAAGTAAAGCTGCAGGGGTTTTATTTTGGTGTTACTGTTTGTCTTTTTTTATGAAATGTTTTGTGCCTTATTTATAAGAAGATATATTCTGTTGACTTTTTTGTTGTTTAAGCGTCTTTATAATGGTTAAATGTGAATACACTGGTCACAATAAGATGCATATTGAATGAAAACAAAAGTAAATGGCTGTACTGTCTATGTTAAAATACAGAATGTTTATATTTATTATTCTGTGCAATAAACATATCCTAAATAATCATATTTTTTATGTTAATTCTTTTATTTTTAAGTCCACTGCTAGAAGAAATGAACATCTTATTTTGTTCTTGTACTTTAATGCCTGTCAGAAATGTGTGTCTAAATTAAAAGTGGCTCCAGATAATTATTTATGCCCAATCTGCATCTGAATCATTACTAAAGCTGCAAATGAACATCTGCACTTGATTATCCCAGAGAATAAGAGGCAGTTTTTAGCATTTTATCCCACAATAAATTTTTGGTTTTTGGTCACCAGCCACTTTATTAGGTACACCTGTTTAACTGTATGTTAACACAACTTGTTTACACATTATGAGCTGCAGTCTTTTTCAAATATTTTTTATTGCTGTCCACTAGGTGGCGATAACGGATCGCTTTAGCCTAAACGTTAAACAAACACCAGGCAACCAGGAGATTTGTTGTTGCGCTTTAATCAACGTGCATAACCGGAACAAGATTACGAAATTGGGCGAGTGTCCGCATAATCCTGCAATATGTAACAACACAGAGAGCGCTGTCGACACAGGGACACAAGTGAACAGCAGAGGGCAGCAGCACGCCGCCCAGCGTCCAGTCTGCCAAGCCAAAGGAGAAGAAGACGTTGTTTGGGAACGATTTCGGGCACTCCGTGGGGGATCTTTGCTTGTTTAAATACTTCGGAGTAAAGACTAATGGCTTTCGCCGTGCCTGTGTGGCTTGCGGTCCAGGAGGAGCTCCTGGCACAAAACGAGGCAGAATGCGGAGCTTCGAGCTGTTTTGACACTTTCGACGATGAAGCTCTTTTTCAGTTGTTCCACCTGAGCAGACCCTGCATCCTGTTCATCGCAGACGCCGTCCGCATCCGCATGAAGGACGCCGCCCCCAAGAAATCTCAGCTGCTCGTGGACGAGATGGTCATGGTGGCGCTCAATTATTACGCACATGGGGTCTCCACCACTGCCGTGCTGCAGAAAGCCGGACTGAGGCAGACGGACTGCCCCACGACTGTGGTCGGTACAATCTCGGGAGTCATAGCAGGGATGTCCGATGTATTCATCTCTTTCCCGCTAACCCTGGACGCCAGAACTAATGTCGCCTTAAAGATAGAGAAATTCTGCGAAATCCCAAACGTGCTGGGCGTCTTGGCTCCTGCGCACTTCAAGATCAGAGCATCTCCATATGAAAAGGACGCTTTCAGGTCTTTTATCAATGCCCTTGGTTACACATCGGTTGTAAGCCAGATCATATGCGACTGCGACGGCAACATACTGAGTGTTGAAAAGTGCTGTGTTGGTGGCACGTTTGAGCAAGAGATGTGGGACTCCTCCTTTAAAGGAAGGGAAATGCAAGAGGACCTGCTCAGCCCGTTCTGGTTGATTGGTAAGAGCAGTGATGACCTCTTGTGAAAATGTTTATTTAGAAATGTAAACTGGAGTGAAAGCACAGTGAGGTATCAAGTCAAGCATAAAAACCTACAAAACTATCATCTGTTTGCGTCTGACGATGACTGGTTGCCTAGCAACAAGAAGACGCCCAGGAAGACCCCACCCCATCATCTAAACTACCCGAAATTCTGCACCTCCCCTACTTGGGTCACCCAGCAATAACCCTTCCAGAAAGGTGTAAAGATCCCTTGATTAAGTAAAGGTGTATGAGGGATGCAAAGATACAGATATAAGTTAAGGCAATGAATGCAAGGCAGTTATTCCCAGAAAGAACAAACCTGCTCTTTAGTGTTTCTATTCCCTGAAAAAGGCTAAATTGACAGTTGGCAGAAGTATTAACTTCTTGGCAAACAGTTGATTTCGCTGGAATATTTCATTCTATTTACATAAAACACAAATAAAATAGTGTTTTAACTTCTTACACATAAACTTACTGGGCATGTTATTAATGCATTATTACGTTATTATTCATGACCTAGATTCAACAGGGTGCTGGAAAATTTCGTCAGAGATTTTGGTCAAGGTTTCTTGATTCATATCAGATTGCTGCAGATTTGTCAGCTGCACATCCATAACGGGAATCTCCCTGATCACCACATCCCATTCTTCTGTCGTCCAGTTTCGATGAGCCAGTGCAAACTGTGGCCTCAGTTTCCTGTTTTTAGCTGACGACTGTCGCACCCATTGTGGTCTTCTGCTGTAGTAGCCCATTGGCTTCAGGTGTTTTCACAGATGACCTTCTGCATACCTCAATCGTGGTTACTTTTGCCTTCCTAGCAGATCAAAGCAGTCTGGCCATTTTTCTCTGACCTCTAACATTATAAGCTGTTTGCTGCCAGGGAACTGCTGCTCACTGGATATTTTCTTTTTCCTACCATTATATGTAAACTCCAGCGCTTGTGTGAGGAAATCCCAGCAGACAGTTGTGAAATACTTAGACCAGCATATCTAGCATTAACATCTCACGTTCAAAGTTCTTTCTTCCCCACTGTGATTCTCACTTTGAGTTGTGGAGGCCATTTCAGTACAGGGAGCTCATTTTCATGCTCAAGAAACCAGTTTTACATGAATTGAGCTTTGTGACATGGCGACTATCTTGTCTAAAGGAGTCACTAGAAGATGGGTACACTGTGGTCATAAAGGGAGAACATAGTCAGCATCAATATTTAGATCTGGGCTCTGGCATTTAGAAGATTCTCAGTTTGTAATCAGGGATCAAAGTATTCCGAGAATGGCTCTCAATAGAGTGGCACCTGTGTGGTCCACATTGTTCAGAGATGCTCTCCTGCTCTGATATTCACTGCATTTTCTTTTGTTTCATTTGAAGGTGGGAAAGGCTACTACTTAAGCAAGCACGTCTTGACTCCTGTATCACTGCCCGCGAACAACAACGAGATCCGCTTCAACGAGGCCCACGCAAAGATCCTCGATGTCATGCAGACGACACTGGATTCCATGAAAAGGCGTTTCAAGTGTCTGATGCAACTTGGTTTTGCACAAGAAGGCTCACTTAACAAACAGTCTAACATTATCAAAGCATGCAGTGTGCTGCACAACATCGCTAAAAAGTTCTCTGTCCCTCCCCCACCTGACGCTGGTAAAGCTGAGCCGCTATATCCTGGCAAGCAGCAGTCAGGGCCAGTAGAGATCAAACAGGAGGCCCTCAAAGCCAGACAGGAAGTTATTGATAGTAAATTCTCTGCTGTGTCCAGCAGTCAGGACCCCTCAGGTAGCAACGTCACAGAAGAAGATGCATAAAGGGTTGTTTCTGGTCTATGAAAGAGGATCAATGACACACTGACACCAAAACTCAGCTTTTATATTTCTGTGAATGTGAAATATTATATTTCTTGCAATTATTCCTTTGTTTTGTACTTATTTTAATAAATTCATTTTTTAAACATTTTCAAGTCATCAGAGTGCTATTTTCTCACATAAAAACTGACAACAAAAATAATAATATTACATATTTAGAAGAGATGCAAACTGAATAAGATCTGAAGTGTGCAATGCATTTACAGAAATAGTTAAGATGTAATAGTTTGTATTATTACGTTTAAAACCAACATATTGCTTATAGACAAATAGTTTTTCATTAAGTGCATAAAAGATTGAGTGCAGGGTTGACACTACGCATTTGCGTTTTGCCGACGGAGCTCTTGGAGGGCAGTGGCATTGACGTATATCATATCTGCGTTCTCGTATGTGTTCTCATAAATGTTCTCTTCATTCGTGTCTTTTGGTTGCAGACTGTCCATGATGCACTGGTGCAGAAAAACGTACTGAGACTGAAAAGGAAATACCAGAAGTTGTTGGTCATTTGAAATGCAGAACTTCTGCCAGGGGAGATTATGATAGTTTCTTGCAGGCAACATTGCTAAACAGTTTCACAATAAAGCATTTCTTTTTTTTTCTCAAACAAAAAGATCCAATAAAGCTTTGTTTTATGAAAACAAATTTTCAGCTCACTTAAAAAGATGTAGACATAGACCCTAGAGAGAAATGCTGGCTCTAATGTCGCAAACAGACTATAATAACATTTCAATCAAGTGTTTTGCTGTCTAAATTACTACTTAACAAGTGCAATTAACAAACTGGGCATTAAATATATTTTAAGCAGGCATCTGTTGGTAATACCTACAAAGTCTGCCTTGTTCTGAAAAGTTGAACAATAGAAAAAATTCCTTTTCAAACTCATATTTTAAGATGAAATGATCAAAAATGATGACCCCAATTTAAAAAACAAACAAACAAAAAAACAACTGCATATCTTATGATGAATAAAGTGCTGTCTGTTTGTTGTTTCACCAGCTGTGACTATAAAGAAATACACGGTTAGCTAATTAAGGAAGTAGTGGCTCAATCAGAAGCAGTTTAACACAGTTACCTCCGTCTGCACCATGTACGGTCGGCTCAGTCTCATCTTGTGTACGAAGGCATTGATGCCGACTGCTTGTTCTTTCTCCAACTGCTGAAGCAGCACATCCAGGGAAATGATAGTGCCAGTTCTCCCGACTCCAGCACTAAGAGAGACACAAGCGTAATAATAATATAACAAAAGGTTTTTAAGGTCACATAGAAAGCTCTCGTCACTGTGTCTGTGCCAAAGTTATTGTAGTTAACAAAAACTAAACTAGAACCTACAAGTAGATGTGAAAACTGTTAAAATGCAGAATTGGACTTTTGAAAAAAGTGAAAAACTATAATGTGCAATACTGTTCCTCCCTATTGAGGAAATGTCTTTGGTCAAAGTTGTCATCACAGTGAGGCTTTGATGCATGTGTTTGCAATTTTTAGTGTAATATCTGTTCAAAACTTTTAAAAATATACCCCTGACAAATACCCTCAATGTTCTAATCATAAAAAACCCACAGAAACTAATTAAAGCTTCAATAAAACGGAACATTTCCAAACAGTAAAAACCAAAGTGAAACTAGTTAATGCAAAATGAAACTAAAGTGAGCTGAAAACAAGACATAACAACAGAAAGAAAAACAGATTAGAAAACACAAAACCTGAACAAACTGTTCTGTCACAACAGACACACTAGCTGGGTGGATATTGTATAAAAGCAACCCTGCACCCATGTAAAAGGAAACACTTATTTCATACCTGCAGTGAACCACAGTTGGTGCTTTGCCCCCTTCTCTCTCTATGTGCTGTCTCATCAGTCCTCTGAACTGGATCAGGACCTCTGTGCACTCTGGGACTCCATGATCAGGCCAGGCAGTAAAGTGGAAATGTTTAACTGTCCGTTCTTCTGAGGTTTTTCTCTGTGAAGAGAAAATATCCATATACAGTTACTTTATGTATATGTCTTGATACACAGCAATTATCAATCAACCATTATTCTTTTAAAAGCAACATTAACAGCTAAAGCCTTCAATGTTTTCTATTCATGTTTTCTAGCCTTACTTAGTACCATCTACACACACACTCAGAAGATATAAGTAAGTTTTTATACATCTTTCAGGTTGAATTCTCTCAGCGTCCAGTTGGTCTCCTGTTGCTCAGATCTCATGGTGACCAACAGCTCTCCATAAAGGCATGACTTGCTGTCTGCAGGCCAGTATTGTTCACACTTGGTCTAGAAATATGAGCAAAAAGCAAAAAAAATACACATACAAAATGTATTTTAATCATAGATCTTGATCTGTTCTTTGTGAAGTGACCAGTATGTTTCCTCCTGACAACAACTTCCATGAAAGACTATCAATAAAACATTTTAAGATTTTCCTGAAGACTTACCCGCCCTCCTTCAATGCAGTTGGTTACCATAACGATCCTCTTAACTCTTTGTTCCCAAATCATTCTCCAGAAATCATTAACAGTAGAGGGCAGAGGGCCCTGAGTGGCAATGTACTCTCTGTTACTGCTGTAGCCCTGAAAAGCAGTGGACAAAGTTAATATGTAGACTAATTTAGCTTGTATATCTTCTGCTCGTTATAGAAATGAAAAAAGAAAGCTCATGAAATCGCACAAAGGTGTTTGTTTATATGCTTTCTGTATGGTGTAGTTATAAAGAGATCTTCACTGAACTTTATCTTAATGTAACACTTACCGGCATGTAATTGGCATTGATATAGTCTGAAATTCCATCAGGATCTGATGTAGTTAGCTTCACACGACACCAGTCATCTAATATGAGAAAACAGGTGATTTAACTCCAGTGCACCTCCAGTAGACGTGACATAGACTGCTAGACTGAGCTCACAACAGCACGGTTCAACAGTCAGAGGAGAGACTCACATGGCAAGACGTTATTGAAACGATTCTTCGCTTTGTTTTCAGGTAGAATAGCAGTCTTTCGTGTCTGGTCTGTTCCAACAGGAGCGAGGCACTGCATGAACGTAGCAGATAACAAAGCATGAAACTGAGATACTGGCCATCGTAAAACGAATAAAATGGTAAGAAATAAAACAGTAAAGACACAAAAACAGGAACACACAGAAGCAGAAGAGGAAAAAAAATCTTGATCTTTTTATGCACCTCATATTCCTCGCTGAAGCCTCTGTTCTCGTCCAAACTCAGCTGATGGAAGTGGTCCGGAAACTTTGCAGAGGGAATAGATCTAAAAAGAAATAAATAAATACATAAATAAATAAAACATAAAAAAAGTAGAATTAATCTTAGCTTTGTTTTGACCTAATGAAATAATACAGATTATACAATAGTACTTGCCATTAATGGTCGTCTCTCAAACGTATTCATTAATTTTGCCTTAATTAATGTTTTTTCTTCATTGTGGGTAATTGTCATTGTAAAAAAACACTTACTTGCTCTGTGTGTTTGGTACTTTGGATCCACCAATGAATGAAGACTTCTTTCTGCTGCAGGATCAAAACATTAAATATGATAAATGTCTTGATTTAATTTACTTTATTCTTGTCAGTGAATTGAGACCCACCTAATAATATCTGGTCTTTTGAGGAAAATTAAGACAACCAGAGCGACCAGGAGACCAAAAAGAAGCACACCAAATACGGACCCTGCAATAACTCCTAAAGGGAGCAAAAGCATAGTTAAAATGCAACAAAGTTAAAAAGTTTAGAGCTTTATTTTACACTTGAGTGAAATGAAACGATTTGTAATCAAGTCAAAGTTGAAAATACTGTATGTTGTTATGATTACAAGCAGTAACATGGTAATGTAGTTACTTTTACTCACCCCTTGGATCAGTTTGGCAGTAAAACACATGCGGTTCAGAACTCCTCACCCCAGACAGTGAAGTTACAGACACCTTATATTTTTTGGCAGGTTGGAATCCATCGATTATGATCTCAGTTTCAGGACTAGCTACTGTGTGAGTCTTTCCAGTCACATTCACCTCCGCATTGGTCCACTCGCCCTCTGGAACTGTCCATTTAATAACAAAAGAGTATCCAGCTGCCCAGTACTCACAGTGAGCATTTAGATTAGGAGGAACTGAGTAAAACAAGAAAAAGGTTTTACAGTCAAAACTAAAGCAGAAAATATATGACTTATAGTAAGTATAATTAAACTTTTTATACTATAAAACAGAGTCTATGAAAAGTGCATCATTTTAAAATTTGTTCTCAAATAGAAAGATTATTTGCTTTACTTTTAATTCAAAGCAGTACCCTACAGTTTAAAAAGTTTATTATAATTTTTGGGATTTTCATATAAAAACTAGAAAATAAAGACCTCAACATTGACACATTAGATATTGAAAGAATTACTCATTTTCTGTTTTAACCTTTTTAATTTCTTGAGCTAATTCATCAGAATGAATTCTTCAGTTAGTAATAAAATGATAGTTAGTTAAAGCTCATATATTAATACTGAATCATATTATGTAACTGTGTTAACCTGTGGTATGTAGGTATGTTAACAAAATTATTTTTCTGCAATAAACTTTTTTAAGATTAAAAATTGAATGCAAGGGTGAAAACTAAAAATTAAAAATTAAATTAAATAAATTCACAGATAACCTTTCTGTAACCAATATGAGTGAATACTTTATGATCTTAAAAACTAATTTACAGATTAAAAATATGCTAGTCCTTCAAATGGTTTCTGTTGTACTCACGAATTGTTAATTTGTGTTCACACTGCAGGAAAACTCTGGAAGACTTTTCATAGACAAGAGAGATGTTATAGGTGGCACCAGGGTAAAGTCCAGTAAACGACACATTTTCACGTCCATCACTGACATGAACGTTAGATCCATTATAGGCGCTTCCGGTCGAGAACAAGCCTTCAATCTTTGCTTTGATTGATGAGTTGGTAACTTTCCAGTCTGCACTGCCACAGTCTATGGCTGAAATAGAGGAGAAAACAGTTATATGCATGAACCTGCTTCTTCTTTTTTACACAACTCATTGAAAAGAGACAAGAAAAAGTTATAAAAAGTCGAACAGAGATAATTTTTTTACCTGTTACAGTGAAATTCGTATAAGGAGTGCTCCTGAGTCCAGCGAACACTGTGGTTAAGCTGAAATCATACTGTGATCCAGGCTGAAGAGATGTCACTACTTTTCTGATTGTATCTGAGGAGACGTTTGACACACTATCTGACACACCACCATTGATTTGAAGCTCGTATTGCCAGGCTTTATTCATGTTCTCCCACTCTAGAGTTATGCTGTTAGCAAATCGTTCAGTCACACTGATCCAAGGCACCACTGGTGGAACTGAAAAAACACAAACAAAACTCAGAAGTGGAATTTGTTCATCTTTTTCTTTTAAAATGAAATAGCTACATGTGACTGTGTAACATACAGGAGCATAGAGCTAGTTCAGTTAACACAAGCTTTTACATACTTAAGCCTGAATAGGTGTGTGAGCTAAATGGCTCAGCATCAATGTATGTTTCCAATCAGGTGATCAGATCAGTCAAAATTAAATAAATAAATAGTGTGTACTAATAATATAATAATTAGATAATTATTGTATAAAATATAATAATTAAGCATGCTGCTCGCTAAGAGCACATTATCCATATTTGTTGCTCTATCACAAGCACAAGCCTATCATCAGGGTTAGATGCACACTTCCTTCTTCACAGAGATATGGTTGGTGGGTGGAGCCAGGATGAATAAATGGCACTGCAGGCCAGAAGGAAAATATAGAATATCGACTTGGACTTATATTGTCCATTTAAATATATTATATCAGGAGCTAAAGATGAAATAAAGACAATTTTACAAAGTCTGATTCACAATGTTTCATCCTTAAGTAACCATTTATGTTTCCTAAGCCTTTAGAAAGTATAAAAGTTAAATTTCAAATTCTAATGTTCCCTGTCTAATGTTATAAATGTACATCAGACAAAAAATAGGAAAATTTAACAAATGTTTATGTTACGAGAAGCTAGTATATAAGCATGTTCCCCAAAAAAATGAGAAAATATAGAGAAATTACATCTCACTGCGATGCAGTTTACTCCACTGCTTCTGACATTATCAAACACAGTGAAGAGAGTGAAATTGTATCTGGTTCCACTGGTCAAATTTAACACTCTGTATTCGTTTTCAGAATTACTAATGTTGATCTCACTTTCATTAAACGCAAGAATATAATTGTTGATGTTGGGGACTGTTTTCCATCCCAGAGTTATGCTGGTCTCATTTTGATGCACCACAGTCACATTATTAACACTTTGTGGAGCTAAAGATAACAGAGTAAAGCGGTTTTCATAAACAAACAAACAAAAAAACACACACAAAAAAAAACAACAACTCTCCATCAGCTAAAGTTTCAAGTACTAATGAGCCGGTCCATCCTGGTTTATCTATCTATGTTAGAGAAAATATATCTTACCAGTGACTGCGGTGCAGTTTACTCCACTGCTTCTGACATTTCCAAACACAGTGAAGAGAGTGAAATTGTATCTGGTTCCACTGGTCAAATCTGACACTCTGTATTCTTTTTCAGAATTACTAATGTTGATCTCTCTTTCATTAAATGCAAGAATGTATTTGTCGATGTTGGGGACTGTTTTCCACTCCAGAGTTATGCTGGTCTCATTTTGTCCATTTTTCTTAAAGTCGTCAGCATAACGAGGAGCTAGAATAGAAAAACGTACAAAGAAGAAACTGTAACAACATTTTCTGTCAGACACAGAAACATGGAGCGAGGCTTCAGTTTCAGTATTTTTATCAGTCCTTTTGAAAAATATTAGGTGAGCTACACTCTTCTGTTTCTGAGAAACCTTAAACATCATTATAGAGCTCTGCTCTTGTTCATGTTGTAGAGGAGCATCAACTGTGGAACATTTTAAAGGACTATGACTGTTTTAGATGTTTTTAATCTGTTAACCTCCAACAGGTTAGCAGTAAGCAGTCTAGGATTATAGGTCGGGTTAGTATTTGACATATTCAAGTTGGAAAATTTGACAAATGTTTATGTTATTATTCTGTAGGATGTATTCTGGGATGTTTTTAACCTTGTTCCACTCCAGTGGTATACTCATCTCATTTTGATGCACCACAGTCACATTATTAACACTTTGTGGAGCTAAAGATAACAGAGGAAAGCGGTTTTGATAAACAAACAAACAAAAAAAACCACACAAATAAACAACAACTCTCCATCAGCTAAAGTTTCAAGTACTAATGAGCCGGTCCATCCTGGTTTATCTATCTATGTTAGAGAAAATATATCTTACCAGTGACTGCGATGCAGTTTACTCCACTGCTTCTGACATTTCTAAACACAGTGAAGAGAGTGAAATTGTATCTGGTTCCACTGGTCAAGTCTGACACTCTGTATTCTTTTTCAGAATTACTAATATTGATCTTGCTCCCATTAAACGCAAGAATGTATTTGTCGATGTTAGGGACTGTTTTCCACTCCAGATTTATGCTGGTCTCATCTTGTCCATTTTTCTTAAAGTCGTCAGCATTACGAGGAGCTAGAATAGAAAAACGCACAAACAAGAAACTATAACAACATTTTCTGGCAGAAACAGAAACATGGAGCGAGGCTTCAGTTTCAGTATTTTTATCAGTCCTTTTGAAAAATATTAGGTGAGCTACACTCTTCTGTTTCTGAGAAACCTTAAACATCATTATAGAGCTCTGCCCTTGTTCATGTTGTAGAGGAGCATCAACTGTGGAACATTTTAAAGGACTATGACTGTTTTAGATGTTTTTAATCTGTTAACCTCCACCAGGTTAGCAGTAAGCAGTCTAGGATTATAGGTCGGGTTAGTATTTGACATATTCAAATTGGAAAATTTGACAAATGTTTATGTTATTATTCTGTAGGATGTATTCTGGGATGTTTTTAACCTTGTTCCACTCCAGTGGTATACTCATCTCATTTTGATGCACCACAGTCACATTATTAACACTTTGTGGAGCTAAAGATAACAGAGGAAAGTGGCTTTGATTAAAAAAAAGCACACAAAAAAAAACAACAACTCTCCATCAGCTAAAGTTTCAAGTACTAATGAGCTGGTCCATCCTGGTTTATCAGTCTATGTTAGAGAAAATATATCTTACCAGTGACTGCGATGCAGTTTACTCCACTGCTTCTGACATTTCCAAACACAGTGAAGAGAGTGAAATTGTATCTGGTTCCACTGGTCAAATTTAACACTCTGTATTCGTTTTCAGAATTACTAATATTGATCTCTCTTTCATTAAACACAAGAATATAATTGTTGATGTTGGGGACTGTTTTCCATCCCAGAGTTATGCTGGTCTCATTTTGATGCACCACAGTCACATTATTAACACTTTGTGGAGCTAAAGATAACAGAGGAAAGCGGTTTTGATAAACAAACAAACAAAAAAAACACACAAAAAAAAAACAACAACTCTCCATCAGCTAAAGTTTCAAGTACTAATGAGCCGGTCCATCCTGGTTTATCTATCTATGTTAGAGAAATTACATCTCACCAGTAACTGCGATGCAGTTTACTCCACTGCTTCTGACATTATCAAACACAGTGAAGAGAGTGAAATTGTATCTGGTTCCACTGGTCAAATTTAACACTCTGTATTCGTTTTCAGAATTACTAATATTGAACTTGCTCCCATTAAACGCAAGAATATAATTGTCGATGTTAGGGACTGTTTTCCACTCCAGAGTTATGCTGGTCTCATCTTGTCCATTTTTCTTAAAGTCGTCAGCATTACGAGGAGCTAGAATAGAAAAACGCACAAACAAGAAACTGTAACAACATTTTCTGTCAGAAACAGAAACATGGAGCGAGGCTTCAGTTTCAGTATTTTTATCAGTCATTTTGAAAAACATTAGGTGAGCTACACTCTTCTGTTTCTGAGAAACCTTAAACATCATTATAGAGCTCTGCCCTTGTTCATGTTGTAGAGGAGCATCAACTGTGGAACATTTTAAAGGACTATGACTGTTTTAGCTGTTTTTAATCTGTTAACCTCCACCAGGTTAGCAGTAAGCAGTCTAGGATTATAGGTCGGGTTAGTATTTGACATATTCAAGTTGGAAAATTTGACAAATGTTTATGTTATTATTCTGTAGGATGTATTCTGGGATGTTTTTAACCTTGTTCCACTCCAGTGGTATACTCATCTCATTTTGATGCACCACAGTCACATTATTAACACTTTGTGGAGCTAAAGATAACAGAGGAAAGCGGTTTTGATTAAAAAAAAAACACACAAAAAAAACAACAACTCTCCATCAGCTAAAGTTTCAAGTACTAATGAGCTGGTCCATCCTGGTTTATCTGTCTATGTTAGAGAAAATATATCTTACCAGTGACTGCGATGCAGTTTACTCCACTGCTTCTGACATTTCCAAACACAGTGAAGAGAGTGACATTGTATCTGGTTCCACTGGTCAAATTTAACACTCTGTATTCTTTTTCAGAATTACTAATGTTGATCTCTCTTTCATTAAACACAAGAATATAATTGTTGATGTTGGGGACTGTTTTCCATCCCAGAGTTATGCTGGTCTCATTTTGATGCACCACAGTCACATTATTAACACTTTGTGGAGCTAAAGATAACAGAGGAAAGTGGCTTTGATAAACAAACACACAAAAAAAAAAACAAAAAAAACAACAACTCTCCATCAGCTAAAGTTTCAAGTACTAATGAGCCGGTCCATCCTGGTTTATCTATCTATGTTAGAGAAAATATATCTTACCAGTGACTGCGATGCAGTTTACTCCACTGCTTCTGACATTTCCAAACACAGTGAAGAGAGTGAAATTGTATCTGGTTCCACTGGTCAAATTTAACACTCTGTATTCGTTTTCAGAATTACTAATATTGAACTTGCTCCCATTAAACGCAAGAATATAATTGTCGATGTTAGGGACTGTTTTCCACTCCAGAGTTATGCTGGTCTCATTTTGTCCATTTTTCTTAAAGTCGTCAGCATTACGAGGAGCTAGAATAGAAAAACGCACAAACAAGAAACTGTAACAACATTTTCTGTCAGACACAGAAACATGGAGCGAGGCTTCAGTTTCAGTATTTTTATCAGTCATTTTGAAAAACATTAGGTGAGCTACACTCTTCTGTTTCTGAGAAACCTTAAACATCATTATAGAGCTCTGCCCTTGTTCATGTTGTAGAGGAGCATCAACTGTGGAACATTTTAAAGGACTATGACTGTTTTAGCTGTTTTTAATCTGTTAACCTCCACCAGGTTAGCAGTAAGCAGTCTAGGATTATAGGTCGGGTTAGTATTTGACATATTCAAATTGGAAAATTTGACAAATGTTTATGTTATTATTCTGTAGGATGTATTCTGGGATGTTTTTAACCTTGTTCCACTCCAGTGGTATACTCATCTCATTTTGATGCACCACAGTCACATTATTAACACTTTGTGGAGCTAAAGATAACAGAGGAAAGCGGTTTTGATTAAAAAAAACACACAAAAAAAAAACAACAACTCTCCATCAGCTAAAGTTTCAAGTACTAATGAGCTGGTCCATCCTGGTTTATCTGTCTATGTTAGAGAAAATATATCTTACCAGTGACTGCGATGCAGTTTACTCCACTGCTTCTGACATTATCAAACACAGTGAAGAGAGTGACATTGTATCTGGTTCCACTGGTCAAATTTAACACTCTGTATTCGTTTTCAGAATTACTAATGTTGATCTCTCTTTCATTAAACACAAGAATATAATTGTTGATGTTGGGGACTGTTTTCCATCCCAGAGTTATGCTGGTCTCATTTTGATGCACCACAGTCACATTATTAACACTTTGTGGAGCTAAAGATAACAGAGGAAAGTGGCTTTGATAAACAAACACACAAAAAAAAAAACAAAAAAAACAACAACTCTCCATCAGCTAAAGTTTCAAGTACTAATGAGCCGGTCCATCCTGGTTTATCTGTCTATGTTAGAGAAAATATATCTTACCAGTGACTGCGATGCAGTTTACTCCACTGCTTCTGACATTTCCAAACACAGTGAAGAGAGTGAAATTGTATCTGGTTCCACTGGTCAAATTTAACACTCTGTATTCTTTTTCAGAATTATTAATGTTGATCTCTCTTTCATTAAACGCAAGAATGTATTTGTCGATGTTGGGGACTGTTTTCCACCCCAGAGTTATGCTGGTCTCATCTTGTCCATTTTTCTTAAAGTCGTCAGCATTACGAGGAGCTAGAATAGAAAAACGCACAAACAAGAAACTATAACAACATTTTCTGGCAGAAACAGAAACATGGAGCGAGGCTTCAGTTTCAGTATTTTTATCAGTCCTTTTGAAAAATATTAGGTGAGCTACACTCTTCTGTTTCTGAGAAACCTTAAACATCATTATAGAGCTCTGCTCTTGTTCATGTTGTAGAGGAGCATCAACTGTGGAACATTTTAAAGGACTATGACTGTTTTAGATGTTTTTAATCTGTTAACCTCCAACAGGTTAGCAGTAAGCAGTCTAGGATTATAGGTCGGGTTAGTATTTGACATATTCAAATTGGAAAATTTGACAAATGTTTATGTTATTATTCTGTAGGATGTATTCTGGGATGTTTTTAACCTTGTTCCACTCCAGTGGTATACTCATCTCATTTTGATGCACCACAGTCACATTATTAACACTTTGTAGAGCTAAAGATAAGAGAGGAAAGTGGCTTTGATTTAAAAAAAAAACACACAAAAAAAAACAACAACTCTCCATCAGCTAAAGTTTCAAGTACTAATGAGCCGGTCCATCCTGGTTTATCTATCTATGTTAGAGAAAATATATCTTACCAGTGACTGCGATGCAGTTTACTCCACTGCTTCTGACATTTCCAAACACAGTGAAGAGAGTGAAATTGTATCTGGTTCCACTGGTCAAGTCTGACACTCTGTATTCTTTTTCAGAATTATTAATGTTGATCTCTCTTTCATTAAATGCAAGAATGTATTTGTCGATGTTGAGGACTGTTTTCCACTCCAGAGTTATGCTGGTCTCATTTTGTCCATTTTTCTTAAAGTCGTCAGCATTACGAGGAGCTAGAATAGAAAAACACACACAAAAGAAACTAAAACAATGTTCCCAACAACATCTTGCATTTTGTGTAGGTTTTAATTAGACTGAATGTTTTGTTCAGTGCTCACTAACCTGTCACAGCACTGAATCTGTATCCACTGCTATTGAGTCCCTCAGACGTGGTGAAGAGAGTGAATGTGTAGTTTGTCCCAGCAGTCAGAGAAGTGACCACATGTACTATGGGTCCTTCTTCAGTTTTATTAATATCTTTTCTTATATTACCATATTGCAGTATGTATGTTGAGATGTTGTTAACCTTGTTCCAGGTCAGAGTTATACTGTTCTCATTTTGTGTGGTCACATCCACTCTGTCAACATTATCTGGAGCTGAAAAAGAAAAGACACACAGTGGTTGTAGTTCAAAAAAAGTTTAAAAAAGAACAAGAACTGAAGCACTGACTATACTGCTTTCACTCCTTTTTTGTTACATTGTCAGGAGCTGTGATGATTTGAGAGTGGTGTTCACCTTTTACCACAATAAAAACCCAGAATGACATTCACTTCAGTTTTACCGATCACCAACAAAAGTCTAGTATAGTGTTTCATTCTTACAGGCTTTTGCTGTTGTAGATGTTGTTTGTTCTGTTGAAGTCTGTGGAGTGGGATTTGTTTGAGCCAGTGGAGTAAATGTTTGTGTTGTTTGAGTTAGTGGAGAGGTTTTTTGTGTTGTACCTGTCAGCAGATTGGTTCTTAGTCTTGTGGAGTCAGTTGTGCCCTAAAAGCAGAAAAAGAGTGAAAAATACAGAATCTAAAATCTGTGAAAAAAAATCACCATTGAATACCCAGTTAACACGAGTCTGTGGCAGAGTCACAGAGCGATGTTTGCTGCTTTTAATTTCACATCTACATTATATCATAAACATTATGTGAACAGTAATACTTCGAGATATCCTCTGAGCATTCGCTTTATAAGAACAAAAACTTTCACTAAAAATAAAAAAAATAATGTGCAGGAAACAAATAAGTCAGTGTCAAATTATTTTAGCATTTTATGTGTCAGCTTCTACAACTAGCAACATCTATAACATAAAAATCACAGAGCTGGCAAAAAATCTATTAATTAAGTGTTTGCTTTGACTAAAAATGCAAATCATATGTATTATTATATTGTATATTATAGCTACAGTTACTTACAGTTACTGGCCTATGAAATATCTAACACATTTCTCCTCAGACACACTCTTTAAAATTCCACATCTGATTTGATTCAATCATTAAGTCTGTATCGTGTAAGTGTTTAAGATATTGTTGAATTTTCTTCTTTCATCCTCTTTTTGTTCTCAGAGGAAACAGATCGGTGTCGCAAAGAAGGAATAAATTCGTGTTTCAAAATCTGGAAAAGTCCAGAATTTTCATGCCATTTAACAAGATTTTGTTGTTCTTGTATTTCTGTACAAACCAGTATTTCACAAAACATAACTATAGTGTTTCAAATACATAATGAAGCATGTCATGCATTTAGGCTTCACTGTGGTTTTGACTGCACTGCTTCCTTTTGTCGAGGGTAACCTACACTGAGCTTCGCTATCTGATCACCATCAAAGTGAAAGGTAAAAAAAAACTTACCCAGAGTAGACTCAGGAAGACACAGAGCAACAAGTGGTCTGAGATAAGGGATAAAAGCTTCATCGTCTTCAGGACTCCTAACTGGCACACATACTTTGAACTTGTTCAATTCCTTTGTTTTCCCCGGATAACCTTGTAGCTGCTATTTTCAGCACCTCTGCTGGTATGTTGACAAAAACCACACTTAAGCTTGGCAAAGAATTTCTCTGACATGCACTATGATAACTTTAATTCAAAGTTGTTGACTTTTAATTCTTAGCTACATCCTCCTCTCGTAACCTCTGGTCCCTTTTCATATTGGCAAATGACTAAGTAAATAACTGCTTCTCCTTTCTGGCCTTGTACAACTACAGAGACCTTTGCCCCGCCTGTTACTTCCTTATTAACGGTCATGCTGTGCTGCTTGTCAAAGGTACGTCAATCAAGAGCATTTGCCTCTCTTACATGTTTATTGGAGGTAATTGCTGCATATCAGCTGCTATTTATCTGTTCATGCTTGTGGCCGCTTGTGTGCCTTTATTATGGGCAAATAAAAGATGAGACGTTTTTGTTTATGATCACAGGTAAAGTTGTGAACTGCTACTTTGAATAAATAATATTTGTGTTGTTTTATTTTAAGAATTTCCAGTTTTTTTAAGGTTTTAAGTAAAATCACTGTTTAGGTTCCTCCGCTGATTGCTTTCACAGCAGAGTGGATCTCCTTCTTGTGTCTTAGCACTGTCTCAGAAAGCTGTGATATTTATAGCTTCCTTGTGGTTGATCTCAATAAGGAACTGCGAACAGAAACTTACCCTCATACTGTTAACTGCGCACAAAGTCACAACAGTCTTTATGGTGTCATATTTTGAGTAGCGCTCAATAAAAGTGCTGATATTTCAAAGAAAATTGTTGTCCACTGTGGAAACATGATGGGGAAGTTAGGATTCATAAATGATAATAGTTTTCCTCATCTGTTAATATGGAGTCATTTCAATTTTTGAGCTTCCGTGTTATACTGAGGATAAAGATAGCTCTTTTTAAACAAGTGCATGCATTGACTATTCATAGTTAAATAACAGTATTTTATTATGTAGGGAGCTTTCAGCACAATCATTTGCATGTTATTAAGACTTGTGAAAGTCTTAAAAACAAATGCGCTTCTGTTTAGCATGGTGCTTGAGTTTCATGACGCTTTTGCAAACCACATTCTGCAGCTTTCCTTTAATATAAGTGGTGGCAGAGCTCTTATACCACAATTAGAGCAGCCTCTTCTGTTACAATAGTTTGAATGGCAATAAATGTGTCACCTGCATATGCTATCGTGACAAGCCTCACTGAATCTACTTCTCAAATCTTTCAGCCCTATAGCCGCATACAATAGATGCAACTTTTTACCTCTCTGTGTGAACACTTATATGCTGGCCTTTGTTTCACTGCAGGAGGATAAAGTTTTCATGATGATGGTGAAGACTACCATCAAACACATCAGTGAAAAGCTCTAATCTCCCTCAGTGTAGGGATCAAAGCTGCACTGGAACAGCTTCACAGAAAGTACTAGAACTTTGCTCATCTTCCTTGTTCAAATCACATCCTAAAAGAGAATCGGGAAATATTTTCAAACCACATCCCTTGTTCCAGTAACTGGAAGAGATAGTTGCCATGGTAAAGTAATAAATAGCATATATTATGGCTCCTAAAACCACAAACGCATTTATCAGAACTCTAGCCTTAACTGTGTGTGTGTGTGGGGGGGGGGGGGGGGGGGGGGAGCAATGCATGTTTAATGTTGTGAAATATGTTTACTATCTTTAATTGTTTTAGCCGGTGATTATATTGGTAATTGATTTACAGAAAACAAATATACTCACTTGTACAGTTTAGACGTCAGTTCAGTTTAAAGCACTCTCAAGCCATTGTTCTCAGAACACAAAAAACAATGTGTGTACAACACTTTTCTCAGTGCCACCACGCTGTGACTAACTGAAGTTGTCCAACACAAAATTGCTAGCTGCTGGAATGTGTGACTGATCTGTTGCTGCAGTCTTGGATGTCCGTGAGAGAACCACCTCTAATGCAACTATTCTTGGTGGAAATCTAACTAGACAGAGATACCCAGATTAGTACTCCAACCTGTACTTTAACCATTGTTGAATCAGCACCCAGGCCCAAGCTGAAACAGAGAGACACAAGACAAGGGGAACTGGGACAAAGAAAACACTTAGCATATTAGCTTAACTACATGTTTGGTGTGTTTGGATGCCAGGGAATCAATTGCAGTGTACTGTGCAGGGGTATATTAAGAAAACAAATAATCTGGTGAAAACAAAAGTAAAGCTGTAATAAAAGGAAAGCCAGAAAAATATGCCAGGTGCATGGAATAACACAACTGTATATAAATAATCCAAAAAGAGACGTGTCCCGTTTCAATACAGTGGTTTGCAGCAATGAAAGAATGGGGAAACATAAAAATAGAAGTTGTAAAGTTGTAAAGTGTACAGAGAAGGGAAAAAAATTTTTTAAAATAAAGACAGGAAGTGTAGAACAGACGTATAGAAAAAACCTCAAGCCATGAAGTATTTGTATAAAAAAAATTATAATAACTTCTGCTTTCTCTCTCTCGCTCCCTCTCTCTCTTCCATTGTGCTCAGGTTAAAGCCTCTGCAGGAATCATTCCGACCACAGGGGCGGCGCTGCACTTCAGTGTATCTCTGCCATACAACGACGACGAAGAAGCAGAACCGGACGCTACTTGTGGCGTAAACAATAAACAATTTTGTGCTGGGAAGATAGTGACATTGCGGTCACGTTGGTGTCACAATAAAAGGTAGGTAACAAAATGGTAAGGTGACATTGACCCGGAATAGATTTATAAAACTTTATTCATAGTCTGGCGTATCTTACGGTATATTAACAAGCACTAAATTGCTGCAAACGTAGCTAAAGTTAGCTAAACTGCACCCTGATAGCATCAGCAGGTATTTCTTGTTTAAGTGGGTACAAAAAGTGGTGTTTAACCGAGCAACAGTCTTAATAACATGTACTAACGTAACAACCACCTGAACCCAATCGTTTGATGACACACGGCGGCAGTGGGGCAGGTGTTTCTCTGAGCTCTTAAATATCAGTTGCAATGTGTTGCTGGCTGATAAATACGTGCTTCGCTAAAACGAGCGCATTTCACACGGAACGTCTTTGCTAGTTTGAACCCGAGGAAGAGGCGGTAGGCGATATTTAACTTTCTTTTGGGCTTACTTCTAACACGAAGGAGAAATCACTCATTGTTGGCACTTGTCTCTATTGTTCTTTCTGTCTTTTAAGCACAACACTAGCTGCATTCGTTGCTTTCTTTTTCTGTGTTGTAGACATGCAGTCTGCGGTGAAACAAAACTTTCATGCAGAAACTGAAGGAGATGTCAACAAACTGATCAACCTGAAGTTAAATGCATCCTACGCCTACCTTGCCCTGGTATGATTCTTGTCATTGTAACACTAATACCTAGCAGTATAGTGCCTGTATGTCTCATAATCTGTACTATATATTTCTAGATATCATTGTTTTCTTTTCTTTTGTTTCTCTTTTTTAGGGTATGTATTTCGACAGGGATGATGTTGCTTTGCCAAACTTCTCCAGTTTTTTCCTGGAGCGTTCAGCCAAAGAGAGGGAACAGGCTGAGAAGCTGCTGGAATACCAGAACATGAGAGGCGGACGAATTTTGCTTCAGAACATCTCTGTACGTCCCAAATGTTATGGGTGTCCTTTTAAAGATGTTGTTGAGATGGGTGTATTTGTTGGTACACACTACTTTTTTTTTTTTTTTCTTCTTCCTCCAATAAAGTGTCAACATTTTGTTCTAGAAACCAAGTAAAGAAGACTGGAAGGGCGGTCTGGATGCAATGACCTTTTCCCTGGAATATCAGAAAACCTTAAATACACGTATCCTTGATGTGCACCGCAGAGCTGGCAGCCATACTGATCCCCATGTATGTCTGGGATTTTTGTTTAGTTTTTTAAATATCTAAATATAATTCTTGTGCTATTAACACAAGAAGTATATTTGGTCTAGAATATTTGCAAGTGTCATAGTATGAATTATTTTACCACTTACTCATCTAACTTCTCTTGTAGCTGTGTGACTTCCTCGAGCAGCACTTCCTCGTCGACAGCCATGACACCATCAAGAAGCTGGGCGACTACATTGGCAGTCTCACCCGCATCACTGCGTCTGAAACGACCGGTGCTATGGGAGAATACCTCTTTGACAAGCACACTCTGTAAAAGGTCCTGGGAGAACAGTGAAAAAGGTCCACATTTCAAAATATACAGAGATAGGCAAAGGCAATAATCCACACTGTACGTCCTTTCCCATTAAAACTTTACAAAGTTGTTACAGTCAACCACAGGTATTATCCAATTGCACTAGACCAAGTTAAATCGAAATGCCTCAGTTTTTCTTATAAAGAAAAGAAATTCAAATGTGTTGGGGAAATTGTTCTCATAAATGTGGTGCTAAACACTACCGTTTTTCTAAGCTGTTACAATGAGTAACTTGTTCATGTGGATTCTGTTTTTTATCATGTGTGAAACATTCCATTGTCATGTTTCAACCCACAGAACATTTTTATAAATGAACAATTTTTGAAGAAGGAAAAACAAATGGACATTTCAAACATTCAATAAAGTCTCATTATGCTGAAAAATCTCTTGTTTGTCTTTAAAAGTCAGGTTTGTGTGTGTAACTGTTATTTTCAGTTGCTCTGACAGGTAGTTATCTGACTCGTCACAATGTCTGAGCACATTATCTAGGTCACGTCTGCACGAGATAACAGTGGGCACATGCTTACTCCCAGTTGGGTGGTGCTAACGCTGGGCTGCTGGAGAGTTTGGTTAACGATTTCCAAGCTGCTTCTTGGTTAATTATCTGACAGCAAAGATAAGTCATGTGACTTGCGTCAGAGTGGATCCCACACAGGCATGGGTCTTAGGCTACGTCCACACCTCAACAGGTATTTTTGAAAACTGAGTTTTTTCTATGCTTTTGAGCCTTTAGTCCACACAAACTGCATTTTCGATCACTGAATACTGATATTTTTAAATACTCCTGCCATGGTAAAGATTTTCGAAAAACTGTTTTTGCGTTTAGGTGTGGACGAGGAAAACAGACTTAGTCACGTAATGCCAAAGGTGTGTACCTTGACGTCATGCTGTGCGCCACATTATTGTTTACATGAGATGAATTTCTACAGTGGCGGATATGGACAAAATGCTGTTGCTCTTACTATCTGCAGTTTTTACATGGTTACATATGCATACTCAATTACTGTCACTCCATTTAAAAAGACAGAGGCATTAGAGTGAACTTCTCCATTTAACAGACGCTCTCAAAACACAAATCCCAACGTTGTCTTCGGGTTTGAATATTTTTTTAATTAAATTTATGCATGCTGTATGCATTTTGTTCATTCCTAAGTTGTGAGTCTACACAACAGCTAAAATACAGTCTTTGGTTATTAACATTTGAAATGATGAAGGCACTTGAAAAGTAACACAAAATTAGTTGCCTTTCCAGAAAAACAAAAAGAAGTACTCAAGATTTGCATAAAACCCTGTTTACTCTTTTCCTCCCAGGCTTCTAGACTTCTGATTGGCCATTTCTACACTGTTAGGATTTGGCATGTTCTTCACAGTGTTTGACTGCGTCTTTTGGTGTTTACATGTGGACTGAGGTATTTTTTTCAAAACCACATGTGGATAGAATTTCTTTTAAACTAAAATGGAAAATTTTTCTTTTCAAAAATACCCGTGTACGTGTGGACGTAGCCTTACTCTGTTCAAGTGTCATTTTGGTTCTAGTGGTTTGAGGTAGAACACTTGACAGATTAAGAAACCACAAGGGTTTGCACAGATTTTCCCAGGTTTTCACCAAGTGTGAAAACATTCGTAACTTGTGTTTGTGTGGTTTAATGTATTGCAGCATAAAATGTATTTTTTATTAATAAAATATCCTGAAATGCAGAGTTCTTTTAAGTGCCCGCCCTAACTCTATGTAAGGCAATTATGTCATGCTCATCTGTCCCCCCCCCCCCCCCCCCCCCCAACAAAACAAAGGCATATATAAATATCCCTGCAGATTACTGTTTACAGTTTAATAAATATGCGTATGTGTTTTGTACAGTAAAATGGCAGGCTAAAAGGATGGGAAACTACATATCCACACATACATGCACAATATCCACTCGCAGTACAAGTTGTTGTTGGACGATCGACTGCGAGGGCAGCTATGCTGAGGAGATTAGTAAAGGGCTGGATGTACTACAATCTCTTGAGTCTAATGGATAAACACTGCCATCAGTGTAATAAACAGTTTTCCCCTGGCGCAAGGAAAAGCTTTGAATACTTCAACATGTTAAATTTACCAACCCTGCAACTACAACACGATAAAAGGTGAATGATGGTCTAAATTTTTCTTTAGTCAGACGTAAAGCAACAGATGTGTTGTCTGCCTTCTAATATCAGTAGGAGGGGGGGAAGTGGGGGGATTAAATGACAACATTTCTCTAGTGATTTGCCAGTGCTTTAGCTTTGGTGGAAAGGGTTGCAGGGAGCCTGCCAGTTCTAGTCAACAGCATACCCAAGGATTGATAGGTGTGCAGGGTCTTCAACAAGCCAGAGGAAAAGCTACAAGAAAGACACCGAACTAGAAGTTGCCTCCTTTTGGTGTTGACAAAATTAAAGGGAGATATCAACAGGTAAGATAAATATTCAGTAAAATTTCAAACACTGTTGTTATGATTAAGTGGAAAAATCCTAAAAAAAAAGGGTCTAAACTGAGGAGAAAAACATGCTGTATTTCTGTGTGTGTATTTTCTTCCTGTTGGCTTTGAAGAAACCAATTTAAAGGACCACTAATATTGCAGATTGTTCATTTTACATACTTTAGTTTCCTATTAGATATCACATCGTGTTTTCAATTTTAATAAATGTCCTTCAGTGATCATTTAATTTCGTTAAGCTATATTCAATTTCAATGTTCAATTATTAAACACAGTAAATGGGTGCAGTAAAAATTACTTTTACTGCCATTTTTGTTTGCTTTTAAAATGGAAATACAGCTCATAATAACTACTTATTAAAAAATCTGTTTTTTCCAAAAGTTGCCTGTGTTCCACTTAACCTCATTTAAATATTGTTCTAAACAGTCAATATGACAGAAACAGTGGCTTTATGCAAGGCAAACCAAAGGATGATACCAACCCCTATTTTTTAAAGCTTTGAGAATCTGTGGTTTTGGATTAATATTGTAGAGGCATAGTTTAATCCAGTCCACAGCAGAGTCAGTGATGAGAGAGAAATGGGGATGGGCTGAACGTGGGAGTGAAAGCGTGGGCCACGAGATGGAGGAGAGCATGAGAGTAACAGAGGGATTAGGGTCAGCCATGTTGAGCATCTGGCTTAGAGTTGTCCTATGCTCTTCAACCTTCCTGCAACACATTAACACAGGGATTACACAGCATGCATGTAAAGTTGTGTTATCATTCAATGTGGCAGCCAACTTAAAAACAGCATGAATAACTGTAGTAATTCTAATGTTTTGGCAGCTGACATGAGGCTGGTCGGTGCTGGGGTTCGAGTCCGGAGGGCCGCTGAGCCGTCTGAACCAGAATCGGAGGAAACAACAGAGCCTGCTCATCATGAGCACTCTCATTCAGAACACCATGAGCACTCACATACAGAACATCAACCTGGGCACGACTACAACCACATGAAGGAAAAGTTCATGAATGAGCTGAGTCATCTGTCAAGTAAGCTACTGCCACAATCTGCAAAATGATACAGAAATCCATAAACCAGTGATGACGTAAACTAAATGTGGCTATTGGGGAGGAAACTATCCCTGTGCAGAATTTACATTATGTCAAATTTATATTTATCAAAGGGATTTATAATTTATTTATCGAAAGGAGCCAGCTGAGGAGGTTCGGGCATCTGATAAGGATGCCTCCTGGAGTGAGGTCTGGGCTTCTCTACTTAGGCTGCTGCCCCTGTGACTCGGCTCCAGATAAGCAGAAGAAGATGGATAATATTTATCAATGTATTTACCAGTTATGTTTAGGAGTTATGTTTATAGTCTTCCACAAAAGTTCAAGCTACTGTAGATGTAAGGAGAAATTTCCAACACTAAATTGCTCTTTTTAACATAAGTGATGTGGCATAAAGAATGATTTCAAAGAACGTCAACAGTTTAAGTGTTTATGCCTACAATGACAGAACACGTGCTTCTGAGTCATTTTGCCAAGAAATGAAGAACTACTGCTTATGATGCTAAGAGTAAAGCGTTTAATGAGCTTCTGCGGTTGGTGGAGCAACTAGTGGTGGCTGTGGGTTTACAGACTGTTATTATCTCAATGCTGACATGTGTGTTATTGACATAACACAACATTAGCAAAACATAGATAACAAAGTGCTTAAAATATAATTTTGAGAAAGTTTTAGTTATTGTGGTAAAAAGAAGAAATCATGATTTATTTTGACATTATGCATTACACCTTTGGTTCTGTCTCCAAGCTCATGAACAGCTGTTAATGTCTGAAGGGGAACTGCTATGTTTTGCTTTTACTTTCTGAAATATATTTATTGTTACAGTGGCAGATACTCATAAACAACCATGAGCAAAGTCTGAAAAAATGAGGTAATCACATACAAATAACTGTGAGTTATTTGACCTATTTCAGATCAAACATAAACTAAGCCTCTGCGCAAAGGCCCAGTATTAGAATATTTTGAAATTTAAATGAGGCGTCCACTATTCTAAGAATGCATTCCAGTGCAGAAATCTTATGCCATCTCTAATTCATTCATATGTTGCTTGGAAAATGGGAAATGGATTCACTGATTATTGAAACACGTGGAAACATAGATAAACGTTTTTGCCTCATAAATGGTATGAGGCAAAAATCAGGCTTTGTACAATTATAAAGAGCTTGAAAGGTAATATTTAATATGAACACCTTAATTCTGCAACACAGTCTGAACTCTCTTAAGCAGCTTTCTTGTAATTTCCTAAGTAGTCTTCAGAAATAGTTCTCTAGGCTTCTTGAAGGACATTTAAAGCTCTTCTTTGGAAGTTTGCTTCCTTTTGTTCTGTTCTCTGTCAAGATGATCCCACACTGCTTCAATAAAGTTGAGGTCTGGGCCCTGGGGAGGCCAGTTCGTGTGTGTGTGTGTGTGTGTGTGTGTGTGTGTGTGTGTGTGTGTGTGTGTGTGTGTGTGTGTGTGTGTGTGTGTGTTAAATCCAGGTATACTTTTACTGCTAGTATGTTTGGGATTATTGTTATGCTGAAAAACAAAGTCTTTCCAGATGGTACTGCATGGGTGATCAAAATCTCCAAGCACATTTTTGCATTCATAATTCCATCAGTTTTGACAAGATCTCCAACACCACTGGTTGAAATGGAGGCCCAAACCATGACAGAACCTCCACCGTGTTTTACAGAGGCCTGTGGACACTCACTTTTGTACATCTCTCCTGACTTCCTTTGTGTATACCAGGGGTCGGGAACTCCAGGCCTCAAGGACTGGTGTCCTGCAGGTTTTAGACCCTCGGTCAACACACCTGACTCAAATGATTAGTTCATTATCAGACTTCTGGAGAACTTTAAGACATGTTGAGGAGGTAATTTAGCCATTTAAATCAGCTGTG